CGATGGTTTTTGTTTGTTTGATTTGGTTTCGTTGCTTCTCTCCCTCCTTCGTCGTGCTGGTCCCCAAACAGCTGCCCTGAGCAGGGTTTGTCGGGCGGCTTTGTCGGGTTCCCTGGGCTTTGGAAGGCCGGAGTCGCCGCTTCGGCTCCGAGCACCGCCTTGTTGGGCGCAAGTTTTGACCGAACGTTTTTAGGGGTTGCTGATCTAAGTTCCGTATGTCCCCTTGCAGTGGACCTTGCGCGGAAGTTCGGGCGACGCTTGTTTGGGTTTTGCCGCCTCTGCTGGTGATTTGCTCCGGCAATCTTGATGCACAATTTCACTGTGGAACGACGGACGTGATGAAGGTCCTTTGCTCACTGCCAGGCTCAACTGCTCAACGCGCGCGTTTTCGCCATTTTCTGAAGGAGTTCCTCCACTCTCGCTTTTGACCGCCAAAAAGTCATGCGTTTGTTGTGCCGGGGCCCACCCCACTCGTCGTTTTCCACGGGGGCCGCGGGCCTGGGCCGCCTGGGGGGTGGAAACCCCACGCCCGAGGCCTCCGATGACAAGGAGGGCGCGGCCCTTGGTGCCAAGGTCACCCCCTGGCAGCCCGTGCCGGTGCATGAGGCGCCTTGCGCCAGCCGAAGTCGGAAGTGGGCGCGTCGGTCTTTTTGAAGGTGCCTTTCTTTTTGTTTTTGGCTGTTGTAGAGGAAACCAAAGGAGAGCTGCAACTTTGTGTGATTTGAGTTGCTTGATTTGATTGGCCGTGCTTTGTTTCGCAGCTGGGAGAAAAGCGGGAAGCAAAAACCGTGGCGCCGTCGAGTCCGGAGCCAGCGCTGGTCCTCCACACGCCAACTTGGACCCTTCGCAAAACTCAAACTTCCAAATTGGCATGGCAAGTATTTGGATATGAGCCATTTGTTTTCTTAAAAAACAACAACACAAAACAAAACACCAAGAAATGGGTCTTGATTGCCTTTGACGTCCCGTCAAACACCGTATTCACTTGTTCCATTCTTTCCAGCACGGAGTGCCCATGGAGGTCCCATTTTGTGCATTTTGTCCTTTCTTCTTCTTTTTTGGTGCGGTCTCGCTTTTGATAGTTTCAAAACCAAACCAAGTGGAACACCGTTGCGTCATTTTGGGATTTCTGTCCAACCCCGAAAGAACGACATATCCATTTGGGTGTGTTTTTTTGTGATTTGGATAGGTGGTTTCAACCAGAAAGGATCCTTCCCACATGACACCTGAGAGTTATGAAACAAATGTTGGTGGACTTGGTGACTTTTTTGGATAGGTGGATTCAAGCAGAAAGGATCCTTCCCACATGACACATGAGAGTTATGAAACACATTTTGGTGGACTTGGTGACTTTTTTGGATAGGTGGATTCAAGCAGAAAGGATCCTTCCCACATGACACCTGAGAGTTATGAACAATTTTTGGTGGACTTGGTGTTTTGTTGGATAGGTGGATTCAAGCAGAAAGGATCCTTCCCACATGACACATGAGAGTTATGAAGCACATTTTGGTGGACTTGGCGTTTTTTTGGATAGGTGGATTCAAGCAGAAAGGATCCTTCCCACATGACACCTGAGAGTTATGAAACAAAGTTTGGTGGACTTGGTGACTTTTTTGGATAGGTGGATTCAAGCAGAAAGGATCCTTCCCACATGACACCTGAGAGTTATGAAACAAATTTTGGTGGACTTGGTGTTTTTTTTGGATAGGTGGATTCAAGCAGAAAGGATCCTTCCCACATGACACCTGAGAGTTATGAAGCACATTTTGGTGGACTTGGTGACTTTTTTGGATAGGTGGATTCAAGCAGAAAGGATCCTTCCCACATGACACCTGAGAGTTATGAACAAAGTTTGGTGGACTTGGTGTTTTGTTGGATAGGTGGAATCAAGCAGAAAGGATCCTTCCCACATGACACCTGAGAGTTATGAAACACATTTTGGTGGACTTGGTGTTTTTTTGGGTTAGTGGTTTCAACCAGAAAGGATCCTTCCCACATGACACATGAGAGTTATGAAACAAATTTTGGTGGACTTCGTGATATTTTTGGATAGGTGGATTCAAGCAGAAAGGATCCTTCCCACATGACACCTGAGAGTTATGAAACACATTTTGGTGGACTTCGTGATATTTTTGGATAGGTGGATTCAAGCAGAAAGGATCCTTCCCACATGACACTTGAGAGTTATGAAACAAATTTTGGTGGACTTGGTGATTTTTTGAGTTAGTGGTTTCAACCAGAAAGGACCAAGGATACTCCTCCCCAGGCCCATAGATCCAGTTTGTCCATCCGATCCGAGACCCGAGAGGCTCCTCAATGGAGGGCAAGGGAGGCGGTCTTCGCCGTGGCAGCAGAGAGGTGCTTCGAGGCGATGCCGAGATCGTGATATTTCGGGGGGTGGGGGTGATTTCGGGGGGACTGGCGATCCCTCAGAGCAAAACCAAGGATTCTGACTCGTACGGACCGTGCCTCTTCTTAGATGTGTGTGTTCAGTTTTAGACCCGTGGGATTTAGAAGAGCGAGCCAAAGGAAGAGCTCGCCTTGTGAAAGTTCCCGTACGCCACCTGAGATGAAGGTTGGGGTATTGGCCCTAGACCAGTGAGGCTTCGAGGTTTGGGGGTGCTCCCCAAATTTTGTCTTGGAACCTCAGCATAGGCCCTCCATTGAGCACTTGTGGGTAAGCACCAGGCTCAATCAGGTCGCTTGGAAAAGTGGATGCTCCAAAACACAGCACTCCAAAAAGAACCCTAGAGTCGGACATTGCATGTTTCTCGTGCTTTGAACACTCTGCTTTTTGAAGCAACTACTCTGTTTCAATCTCGGATACTTGGCAGAAACCAAGCCGAGTGGCTTTCATTCGCACGAAAAGCACTCTGCTAATAGATGGGTTGCCGCTGAGGGAGGCTGCACGAGGCGTAGTTCGTCCTAGTCCTGTGGATGCACAAAATCCATTTCAACCACTTGGTAGGTGGTTGATCCATCCCTAGTGAAGGATTGTTCATCCCTTTCTTCATCCCTTGGTTTATTTGTCCCTCTGGGTTTTTAGGGCTTCATATCCATCCCAACAGGCGACTTACTTCTTGTTCGTTTCTTTGGGCTTTGAAGGCTTGGTATCCCGGATAGATAGCGAGGCGTCCTTTGTGGACAGTGCTCATTTGCACATCGTGCTCATGCAGAAGGCAGGAACCTGGTCTGGCCAGGACGGCCAGACAACGAGTATCAACTGGGTGTGTCTGCTTTTTTTGGGGGTTTAAAGGGACTCCAACAGGATTTTTTTCATTTTTCTTTGGGGGGTCCCCGACAAAAGACACCCATTTTCATTGAGCAGCTTTTTCGGATCGAATCAGAGCAGCGGTGCGAGGAACTCACCTGCGTCCGTTTAGTCTGACGTCCACGCGAGCTCGTGCGGACGCGAGCATGAAATCATATTTTTGGGCCCCTTATTTTTTGTTGAGAATAGTATCTAGTGATATGTTTTCCCATGACTCAAGTGGAAAGTGCCACCCATTTGTGGCTTCTCCTTCGGACGTCAGCTCGACTCCTTATTGGCCAGGATGCCGAGAAGGAGAAGCCCACAGGCCGTGACGACTGCAGACATCAAGGATCTTACCTGAGGTGTGTTTGGATGGCATGTTTGGTCGGTCTAAAAGGGAAAAGCAAAGGGGAATTACCTTCTTGCCATGAATGCAGTGGACGTGGGGCTTCCCCCAAAATAAAGTAGTCTTCCAAAACATCCCTGTCTGCTTTCATGATTGTTGGAAGTTTTATAAAGGTCCTATTTGTGACATGTGCCATCTCAATCACCAACCCCGTCCTTTTCCCAACTTTGGACACAAGGCAGACGTTTAGGCTGACAAGGGTCCCCTTTTGCATATGTCGTCTGCGCCTTTTGCGGCAAAGTACAAAGTCATACTGTGGATGGACGAAATTTTGCCATACCCAACGGCAAAGGGCGACCTTTGCAAAATGCACCTGCACAGGTCTGGGCTTTTCGGCGCTGAAGCAGCAAGGCCGGCTTTTTTTTCTTGCTCATCTCTGCCAAAGCATGTTTTTTTCTATGATTCATAGGGGAGGTTGGGGAGTGCTCACTCCATGCACAAAACCGCAAAGGACGAGCCCAAGTTTCCCATGTCCTTTGCTACCGCGGCGCTTGGACTGGCTGCGGTGTTTCTGTTTTGGCCGAGGGCTGACGGCTCTTCGCGCGACGGCCCCAGAGAGGTTGCAGCGGGTTCTTCCGTTTGTTTTGAGGACTGCTCCTCAGCGCAGAAATTGGGAAGAAGGGTCTGGAAAGAACTGGCTGGAACCAACCAATCGCGTTCCGAGGGTTTGCGGTGCGCGACCTCCCCGCAGGTTCGCGTTTCTTCTTGGGTCCCTCATGTTTGTTGTTGGGAAACATTTTACATCTTTGCAGATTGTGGTTTAGTGGTAGAAATCCCCACTTAACTGCTAAAAAATGATTTTTTTGGCTCCCCTAACCCAGCGTCAACGTCAGGGGCGTCCTCTCAGGTTGGCTTTCAACTTGTTGGAATCCCGAGCTTGGGATTCCGAGCTTCGTGTCTCGAGGCCGCGCCCCTGAGTCCGGGGCCCGAGACCGGACCGAGTGAGAGAGGGGAAGCCAAGAGGCCAAGAGGCCCGGCCTGCGGCGCCCAGCAAGGCGCTTCAAGGCCAAAGCAGGTCTTGCTTCCCGAAGGGGACCGCCTTTCTCTCCATTCCCGTCTCTTTTTTTTGGGGGGGGGAGGGGGTGGTGTGGTGGGGGACGAGAAGATGGAACCGGGGCCCGGTTCTTAAGCCGTCCAGCGTGATGCTTTGCCAGATTGACACCGCGGAAACCCCAGCCACAGGAGCTGCAATGGCAAGGGGGGAAGTCCAATGGCAAGGCATGCGGACTTGATGACTCGAATCTAGAGGCATGCAGTTCCAAAAGCAGCAACTGCTTTGAGCATGTTTCTTCTCATTTCTCTTTTCGTTTTTCAATGAGCGGCCCGCCAAAAACCCTTGAGATGTCCCTGGCGAAGTGGCAGGACCCGTCTCAGTGTATGACCGTGTCGGCGCATCACAGCAAGTTTGATGACGAACTCGCGGGTCCGATCCAAGTCTTTGGCCCGCGCAATTGAGCAATGGCAGACGCAAGGTTTGGTGCGTGGGTCCGGCCGCAATTTTGCCCCCGCCAATGTTGCAAGAGCCCTTGCTCATTGCGTTTTAGGGTTTGGGGCCGAAAAGGCTCTAAGATGGTTTCCGCTACCTCAAAAGCCACTACCCCAAGGTTTAACTGAACGCAGCCAACAACGGCCTGAACCAAGGTCGCTCGAAAGAAGCAAACATGTTTGTTTTGTCTTTTCGTTTTATTTTTGGGGGTTTTGTTTTTTAGAAGCAAAATGCCCGCCCCCCCCAGAAGCAAACTGCCCCCCCCTCCCCACCCCCAGGGTCATAACGCCTGTCCTGGCCATCCCCATCACGAGGCGGGCTCTTGGACTTGGGTGGCGGGGCACGTGGCGAGAGCATCGGCGAGCTGAAGCTGCCGGTGGGGCGGCGCCTCGCCTGTGGACAGGGAGGCGCGGCATGGGCTGGACGTAGCTTTTTTGAGCCGAGAGTGGCGCAGTGGGGGAGGGGGGAGGGGGGGGAGAGATGAGCCAGAGAAGTACGAGTGAAAATTTTGGGTTTCGTATAGAGGGTGTTTTCCTGAGATCTGGTTTGATCGGAGGTCAACGTTGACTTGGGTACCGCCCCCTGCAATTCAGCATTCCAAAAAAACATGGGGCAGGACAATATGCGCAAGCTTTGCTCAACAGTTGGTTCGGGGATGCCTGCGCTCCCTGCCCGCTGATGGGTTGAGGAGTTTCGGGCTCAGGTTTTGGCTTCAGGTTGGAGTGAGGGTTTTGAGATTTGGGGCTGTTGCTGGGATTCCGGTAATTGTGCAGATTGGGCGGCTTCAGTTCTAGGATTGAGGGCTAGGGTTTGAACAATTCGGGGGGAAAAAGGCTGGAGAAGCCATTGTGTGAACGCACGGACACAATTTTTGGACGCCTATGGATGCGAGGGCAAAGGGAGAAAATACAAAAATGTCGCCGAGGCTCATTGCAATCTTCAGCTTCCTGCCACGTTCCCTTCCCATTCATTGGTGGCCCTTAGGGATATCATGGGGGAAGAAATGGCCAGCCACGTGCTTGACCTGGCCATGCGAATGAGAGAATCTCCAGGTCAAGCTTTTTTTGGGCTCTTGCGCCACATGCGATCAACGCCTTGGTTGCCACAGATAGGCCATGATTTTCCAGGGCCTGGACTTGCTTTCAATCGACGAAAACATCCCCACGCCTTTGGCGTCCCAAAGAGACCCTCGTCTTAGTAGGAAGGGAGAAAGGACTTCTTGTTTTTAGACTATCAGGCCGGGTTAAAAGCAGGGTTGCCGCAAATGACCACTTCTGTGACAAAAGGGCTTCCCAAAGACTAGCACCCCATACGGGGGAGATTCCCTTGTATCACAGAAGTTGTTGATTCCACTGGTTAAAAGGGAAGCCATGTCCATTTTCTGACTTTGACAACCCTCAAAAGCAATTCGTACTTCGCCCCCGAGAAGGGATCTTTGGCGCTGGGGGTTTGGTGTCCCCCAGCCGCTTTTGGCTCGGGTTTTTACAGGCGAAGGTGCGGAGTGGGTGCAGCTCCATGGGGAAGGCTGGGCTTTCCTTTTGGTTCTCGAAGGTGAAAAGGGAAGCCTGGCAAGATGCACCCAGCTTCAGCCCTGTAAGCCGCCGTTGCTCGGGCTCGGATTCGACAAGCTACAGCTCCTCTCAACGCATCCCCCCCCTGGAATTTCACGCTGCTGACAGCGCTTCAGTTTGTTACTTGTGCAAAAGGCAAGTTCGAAGGCTGCTATTTGGAGGAGCAGGGGTGAAGACTTGTGGAATATGAAAGCTTGACCGGAGAGTTGCGCAAATCACCCCGGAACAGCAAAACAGCAAACAAGGCCTAGTGTGCCTTTCTTTCATCATGGATTCGGCCTCTAGACCTTTCGGTTTTCCTTTGGCATTTTCCAAAGAAACATATTTTGTGGTTTTCTTCGATTTCCCGGCCCTTCCTTTTTAGTCGTGTGTTTTTTTCTTTATCCGGGGCCGAGTTTGGGGCCGGGCTTCGAGGAGTGGTGAAGGGCTCCTTGCTCCTGGAGCTGCCCGGAAACCAAGAACCGGCGGAAGCGTTTTTTTTTTTTTTTGGGGGGGGAACAAGGGGATTGGTCCCTTAAGTTGGACCCATTGTGACAGTGGTTGGGCTTGTTCCACCCAGGGTCTAAACCAAAATGGGTTGGTGTCTTACCCCTGCAATTTGAGGCAACGTGTACTTTTTCGCCTAGGTCCTGCGCCGGTGACGGGCGCAGCCCGGCAAAGCTTCCGGCGCCCGAGCCGGCAAAGCTTCCGGCGCCCGCGCCGGCCTTGCCGCCAGCGCCGCCGCGGCGAGAGCCGGAGCGGCCGGAGCAGAAGGTGTGGGAGGACAGGGGGGTTTCCGGCAGGGTCCCGATGCAAGTTGTTTTTCTTCTTAAAACATATACAAAAATATATAATAATAATAAGCAAACAAAACAAATACAAATAGGTTGTGCTCTATCGGCCAATTTTTATTTCCCTGCCAGACAGGGACTGGGCCATTTAGCAGAAACAGCCCTGCAACATATCTTTGCAATCGGAGCTTTTGGGAGGTTTGGGTTTACCCAGATCCGGATATCCAATACGGGTAGTTAGTTTGGGCATAGTAAGCCTACCAGATTCTGAAAAAATAGCGGGGGTCTACATTGAACGGCATGTTTAAACCAATTCCGGAGGGCAAATCTTAAACCGCGCGGATTTCAATGAGTTGATGAATGCAATTGAAGCTTTCCAAAAGGCACCTAGGTATATTCTCAAAAGCTCCGGGGTGAGCTTCATTTGGACCAGCAGAAAAGCACAGATGGCTGTCGGTCAAAACCAATTGGGATCCCATTTTGGGATAGTTGCACCACTCGTTTTAGAACCTATTTTAGTGGGGATTGGGATGTTCACCGGGGGCACCTGTTTTGGATTTTGACCCATGGCCAGAGGTTTCTCTGTCTGGAGGAGCTGCCGGAGGCGAGCCCTGCGCAGGAGCCAGGAGGCGCAAAACCGCCGCCGGCGCGGGCCGCAGATCGTCATGGTGGGCTGAGCGGACCGGGGATGAACCAAGCGACCAGGAACCAGACATTGATCAAACTGATTGTAGAAGTTCGTTGTTTTTTTGGTTTGATGTTATACGCGTACGTGCACACACATGCATGCATGCATGCATGCATGCATGCGTACGTACGTACGTACGTACGTACATACATACATACGCACATACACACAGACACACACAGACACGCACATACATAGATACACATAAATATATACATATATACACATACATGTACAGCCATTTGCATACATACATATCTCCATTTGCATATAGACATATGTAAGCTTCCCCCCAAATGATGTCCCCCCGCAAGTTCTGCCCATTGTTGAAATGAGGTTTTGGGGCTGTAGTGTGATACTAAGGGGGCCCCCCAAACGTGACAACTAGTTGTAGGACTCACCCATCGCCGTATCACAGACAGTGTTGTTTTTTCCACAACCATATGCGCCCCAGGGTTCAACGCCATTGCCTTGAAAGGTCGAATGAGGCCTTACGAATTTGACTGAGGGGGAATCCTTCGAATGTTTGGTGGACATCCCCAACTGTTGACTGGGCTCCCTTGCGCGCCCAATTGCCCGTTGGAACTTGACGTTTTGGGGGGAGTCCTGGTGCTGGTGTTGACCATGTTCCATCTAAACGGACCCGCTTCCTGTGGATTTTGGGAAACAAGGGCCCCCTTTTGTGGTTGACCAAAACGGGAAACATCCCCCTGTCAGGTTCCATGTGAAAGGGGCGGGCGGCTCAGATTTTCACATGACCTGTGTCTTAGGCGAGCTGGCGGCTTGAGGCCCTGGAGGCGCTCGAGGCGGGCTTCGGGCTTCGTTTCGGTGGGAGGTCACGGGTCACGGCGTCGCGGGTTTTTGAGCTAAAAAGGGGTGGAGGTCGAAAGCTTCAGGCGAAATTCAGTTGATTGGTCAGAATGCGGGTTTTTCGGCTGAAAGCTGAGTGGTTCACATGCTCGCGACTTGTGCCACAAGTCGACTTTTGCCACAGTTTTGATCTCCTGTTGGACAAGTGCTTGTCCAAGAAACTCCGTTGTTTCAAGCCGACCTGCTGGCACAGCACTCCCGCAGATCGCCTAAACCAAGGTGATTGCCATCTGACCCGAGAAGTCCAACCGTTCCATGTTCAGGGAGGCTGGCCCCCATTTGGAATGCAGGGAAGGTTTCTCCCGCTTTTGCGGGCCTTGGTAAAGTGGAAGCCCGAAAAGGTAGAAGCTTGGGGCGTGAAAAAAGGGAGTGCCGGCAGACTCCTCCCGCCGACCATGTCTTCAAGTAGGTCCCGCACGGCTCGCTCCGCAAAGTCAGGGGACGCAACTCGAGGACTTGCGTGTTTGTGTCTTTTTCGAGGTGCCGCTTTTGAAACCACACATGGTGCTTTTCTCCCCCCCCCCAATATATATATATATATACATATACATATATATATATAGAACCATACACAAGAAGTAACGTTAAAGTAGAAATAAACGTACAAATACAAAGTAAGCATAAAACAATAACAGTAATATCATGATAGAAATGCTTATCAATCAAACATAGTCACATACCAATAAACATACCATTAAGTAACAACACATACACATAAAACCAACCAACCAAAAAAGCAAGCAACAACACAAAACACACACACACACAAAGAACCGAAAACCAGCGAAAACCACCGAACCCCTCCGGCGGTTTCCCCTTCGGAGCTTCCGCTCTTCGGTGAGGCCAGCCTGAAGACCAAGGAGTCCTCCAAGGTCCAGGCCATGCCCCTTGGGATGGCCTCGTCGCCTCGTCGCCTCGTCGGAGTTGCCGCGTGTTGGCGCCCGGTTCTTTTTTTTTTTTTTTTTTTTTCTCTCTCTCTCTCTCTCTCTCTCTCTCTTTGTTTTTGGTTTTGCTTTTTCTTTTTCTTTTTTTACGGGAGGGGAGGCCAAAAGGAAGCCACGATTCTTCTTTTTTTGGGTTTTTGTTTGGGAGGGGCTAAAGAACTTTTTTTTTTGGGGGAGGGGAGAGGGGCCCCCTAAAGACCGAGGCACACGAAGGGAACCCTCCGAAATTGGTGGGTTTCAGCGAGTCCGACCCAATTTGAGGAATTTTGGATTCATTTGCCTCCTTGACAAGTTCAGGTTTCGGACCTATTGTAAACAAATGCAAAAGGACAGAAAGAGAGAGAGAGAGAGCACCCCAACAAAAACGAGTTTTGCAAAGACCACGCTTTGTTTGGAAGGTCTGGGGCACAACCAGCGACAGCCATGTCGGTCCTTTGGGACTTTGCAGCTGGACCCTCCGCCAGGCGCCGGATCCAGAGCCCCAGCCCGGGGCTGCAGCTCGAGTAGCGAAACCGGAGATGGGGTCAAACGGATTTCGGGGGACCCAGGTGTGGTTTTCAAGCTCGAAACCGGCATTGTGATTGTTGAACACCTCGGGATGTCACATACAGAGGGCCAAGCTTTGAAGGGATTCACGGGCCTTTGCATGGGAAAAGCGTCTTGGGAGCAAGGCGCTTCCTGAAACGGCTGAACAGTTTCCTGGATGGTACCCTTTTCGGCTGGGTTGAAAGGGAACCGAAAGGAAGCCCTTTCTTTGGGGTACCCACACACACACACACACACGCACGTAAACACGTAAACACGCACACACATGCACAAACACGCGCACACGCGCGCACACACACGCACACAAGCACACAAGCACACACACACACACACACACACACACACACACACACACACACACACACACACACACACACACACACACACACACACACACACACACACACACACACACACACACACACACACACACACACACACACACACCCACGCACACCCACACACACCCACACGCACACGCTGCCCACTGCAGCTGCAGCACCGCGCCCCTGCCTGCCTTCCTGCCTTTGCGCCCCTGCCTTCTGCCCCTGCCGCCCCTGCCTTTGCAGCCTCTGCCTGCCCAGCCTGGCCTGCCGCCACGTGCCTGCAACCTGCGCCTGCGCCTGCGCCTGCGCCTGCACGCTGCCTTCACGCCTGCAACCTGCCTTCCTGCCTTCCTGCCGCCCTGCCTTTCCCAGCTGCCTTTGCAGCCCTGCAGCACACGCACACGCTGCCTTTCCGCTGCCTTTCACGCCTGCAACCTGCCTTCCTGCAACCTGCCTTCTGCCTTCCACCTCCTGCCTTCCTGCCCCTGCCTGCCGCCTGCCTGCAACCTGCCTTCACCTTCTACCTTGCTGCGCCTGCCTTCACCTTCTGCCTTCACCTTCTGCCTTCTGCTACCTTCTGCTGCGCCTGCCTTTCGCCTGCCTTCTGCCTGCCTTCTGCCTTTGCCTTCCGCCAGGCTTCTGCCTCAGACCCTTTCCCAGCCTGCCTTTTCCCAGCCACCCTTCTGCGCCACCGCCTACCGCCTCGCCTGCCTTCCTCGCAGCCTGCCTTCCTGCCTGCGCCTGCCTGCGGCTGCCTTGCAGCCACTGCAGCCTGCAGCCTGCCTTCTCACCCAGCCACGGCGCCTGCTGACCTGCCTTCTGCAGCCTGCCCGGCCTGCAGCCTGCAGCCTGCCAGCCTGCGCCTGCGCTGCGCCTGCGGCTAAGCCTGCAGCCCACCTGCCTTCCTGCCTTCTGCCCGGCCTGACATCCGGGCCCCTGCCTTTCTTGACCCATGGCCTGTGGCCTGCGCCCTGCCTTCTGCAACCACCGCCTGCCTTCTGCCAGCCCCTGCCTTTCTGACCTACTTGCAGCCTACTTGCAGTTCGTGGCTTCAATGAAACGCGTTAACCTAAACGTAGCTATAGTGATGCCGGCCTGCAGCCTGCGGCCCATTTCAGAAAGAGCAAGTCCACAGCGGCCTGCTGGCCTGTACAGCCTGCTGGCCTGGCTTCTCTTGCCTGCAACCTGCAGCCTCATGCAGCCTGCAACCTGCCTTCTGCCTTCTCGCCTCTTGCCCCTGCGCTGCCTTCTGCAGCCTGCCTTTCTTAGCCTGGCACGGCTGCACCTGCAGCCTGCCTGCCTTCCTGCCAGCCCTGCCTTCTCAACCCACCGCCTTCCCTGCCTTCTGCAGCCTGCCTTCCGCGGCCTGCCTTCTCTTGGCCTGCCCGGCCCCTGCCTTCCTGCCTTCCCTGCAGCCTGCCTTTCTGCCCGCCCCTGCAACCTGCGGCCTGCCTTCTTGCTTCTGACCTGCTTGGCCTGCCTTCTGCCTTCTTGCCTCGCAGCCTGCCGCTTCTGCCTTCTTCGCCTGCAACCTGCAACCTGCCCCGGCCTGGCAGCCTGCCCAGCCTGTGGCCCCTGCCTTCCTGCCTTCTCTTTTTAGCCACTACTTGGCCTGCAACCTGTAGCCCTGCAGCCTGCCTTCTGCCGCCTGCCTTGCCATTTCCCGCCTCACGCCACGCGCCCCTGCCTTCTCCTTCCTCGCAACCTGCCTTTCACCTTCTGCAACTGCCGCCTGCCGCCTGCCTTCTCACCAGCCTGCAGCCTGCGCCTGCCTTGCAGCCAGCCTGCCTTCACAGCCTGCCTTCCTGCTGCGCCTGCCAGCCTGCCTTCTTGCTTGCTGAGCCTGCCTTCTGCAACCACAAGTACCACCCCTTCATGTGTTCAATGCAGCCCTGCAGCCTGCACTTCTGCAACCTGTAGCGCACACGCGCTTCTGCAGCGCCCCTGCCAACGCACCGCCTCTGTGCCCTACCTTTAGCCTGCGCACACAGCACACACGCACACAGCACACACAGCACACACACACAGCACGCGCTCTGGCGCCTGCGCCTTTACCTTCTTTCTCTTTTTGTGCCTGTGCCTGTATACCATTGGTTTTCCTTTTCCTGCAGCGCCTGCCTTTTCACAGCACCCTACGCGCTACCAGCGCCTATGGCCTTACTGCAACGCCCTACCAGCGCCACTGGCGCCTACTGTGCTTTACCTTTCTGTATTTCTACCAACCCTATAACGCACAACCTATGGCAGCATATGACATACGCCACCGCACACAACACACGCACACACGCACACACGCACACACGCACACACGCACACCCGCACACCCGCACACCCGCACACCCGCACACCCGCACACCCGCACACCCGCACACGCACACACGCACACACGCACACACGCACACACGCACACACGCACACACGCACACACGCACACACGCACACACGCACACACACACACACACACACACACACGCATCACAAAATGCGACCTGTGCGGGGAGGGCAAAAATGGATCCCGAAGCCTTCCCATGGCCTCCGGTTCCTCCAATGGTCTGCTGGATGTTTGTTTCGCGTCTTTCAAAGCGCGATGGCAAGTTGCCTTTTGGTTGGAAGTCATGCGGCCCCGCGTTTGGGTTCGTCTTCCTCCCAAATCCGTAGAGAGAGAGGGGGCTAGTCATTCGGTCTGAGGGTTTTGTATTACTTAGGATTACACCTTTGGGAAATGACCCAGCATGGTTCAAAATAACAGGGTTCTATCCGGGTTTTAGCCGGGTTTTGTGCTTCAAGGGGGTCAATACCCAGTGGGTGTATTCCCAGGGTGTAATACACAAGAAGCAAAAAAATACCTTAGACTCGGCCCCCAAGAAGACCCCCCCAGCGAAAAAGTCCAGGAGCCTTCCCGTGGGTGGATCACAGCCTCAGGCCCAGGCCGGTGTCAGCCTTTGAGGAGCCGCAGGCGATGGGGATCTCGAGATGGGTCTTTTGTTCTGAGGGTGGCACGGTGGCACCCTGTTTGGGGCTGTTGCAAAAGAAGCAAGCCAAGGGAGACAGCTTTTGTTTTGAGGGCGGGGGTTCCAAGGGGGTCCCCGATTTTGAGCAGCCCGTTTTGGGCTGCATTCGGTGTTGAGTGGAAGCCAAAACGAAACCTGCCAGGTTTCGTTTTTGACCGGCGAGTTGCTTCCGCCAAGGGTGCCTCATATCGGTTCTTGCGTTCTTGCGCGGAGAAAGGGGGGTGTAGTGAATTGATGATGGCATGGGCCTCTTTCGATCCCTGGTTAAACCGAACCGTTCCCTTGGGTTGCAAGAGGCTGAGCTCAAAGAGTGCAGACTGCGCTTTTTGCCACATTGGGGACATTTTCAGGGGTTCCACCTCCAACATAGCCAACATGATCAGCTCGCAGGCTCTCGGCTTCTGAAGCCAACATGACCATTCCTTTCAGACGGAAATGCTAGCAGCTCCGAAGAGGTCCTTCCAGTTGCTCCCATGGCGGCATTTTCCGGCCGGCGCCTGGTTCCGAACCCAAGCCAGTGGCTGTTGGCCGTTTCGGTGGCCAGGTGAACATCTTCAACATCAACGAAGGCGCCCCGGCGCCGGTCAAACGTTTGGCACTTCAAGGTGCTTGATTTCTCCTTTCCCGATCTGAGCCATCCCTGGTCGCTTCCTTCCGGGACCCCAAAAGTTACCAAATTTACCAAATCCTGCACCAGGTGGTAATAGGATTTCATCTATGGCACGTGCGAAATGGATCTTGTGCGCCACCCGCAGTGGCATTCCCCTCGTGATTCGATCACTTTGATCCTGCGCCCTGCGGCTGCGGGTCTGTGCAGATGGTTTTCTTCGCACTCCGAAGCGGGAGGGGTGACAGTCCGCTTCCAAGCGGATCTTTGGGTGAGGTGTACTCCTTGAGATGGTTCTTGTTGGTCCGGGTTTTCGTTGACGTCACCCCCCTCTTGGCCGCCTCTCTCTCTCTCTCTTCGCGCAGGTTCCGGCTCGAAGTGGTCCGAACCTCAGAGGTGGGGGGGGAGGCTGGAGGGCTCCCAGCTTGGGTGAGGGTTGAGGTGGCAGTGGTGAGACAAAACGCCGGCGGAGCCTTCAAAGGGCTTGAGGGGCAACTCAAGGAGAGCTTCTTTTTCTTTTGTTTCAAGGCCTTTGGCCCAGGGTTCAACTTCTTGCAGGAACTTTCTTTGTTGTCGTCTCTTTTTTTTTTTTGGGGGGGGGGTGGAAGTATTTTTGAAAGCCCACGCGTACAGCCAAGAAGGGTGAGGGTTGCCCATTCTGTGGCAGTAAGACGGTGACAGCTGAATGGAACTCTCGATGGACAATATCCGAATCGCACCAGATGGATGGCACCTGGTGAATGCTGGGGCCAACCACTCCCAAAATGCTGCGACCCTTTTTCTCCAGGAAGTGGTCGACATGGCGAGGCAGCTTCTCCCACCTCCCGTCCTTTGCCGCAGCCTCGGCTGTCGATAGAGTCGAGGTTTCGGGCGTGGGATCGAAGGCGTGGGATCGAAGGCGTGAGGGCTGGTTCTTGGCAGCAGCGGTTGCGGGCGTATGGGGCAGTATAGTCTCAGCTTCGGGTTTGGGTGTATATTACGGTTCTGTCTTTTTTTGGCGGTACCTGTTTTTAGAGGCTTTTTTGAAGGGAAGCCAAAAGGACCACCCGAAGTCATGGGGGCTCGACCTTAAAAAAGGCCACGCATCGTGGGCTTCGTGGTTCGCGCTGGAGTGGCTGGGCATTCCTTTGAGCCACTGGTCGCTTTGCTGGATGCTCCTGTTCGGGCTTTCTGGAATGTTGAGGGGCCCAGCCGAATGGCAGCCTGGGTGCATTTGTTTTTGCATCTTTTCCGTGGGATTGTTTTTCCCTTTTGCGATCTTGTAGCCCGCGCACCTACAGCAACATTCGATGTAACTTGGATCTTTGGCTGGATGCATTGCTTTTCGATTTTTTGAATCGATGGCAGGATCGATAGGGATTCGCGGGGTGATTTGATGCGTTCGGCCCTTTGGTGGTTCTGCGTAATACCTGGGTGGTTGCAGTCGAGTCATTGCAGATGAGCCTTTGCCTCCCAAGAGGCACAGCTGGCCAAGCCAGAGTCGTCATTCTTAATGTTGACCCCGGATTAATCAGCCCCGGGTGTCCCTGGTTTTATATGGGGTCATTCTTAGGGGAGTCCGGCCTTGTGGGTGTACCCCCCAGTCCCCTTGTTCTCGCGTTCCATGGACCGAGGATCCGGGAGTGAGGCAGCAGCGTCGGGAGGTGCAGAAGTGGCGGCAGTGGCACGAGGCGCGGCCGCGAAGATCGAGGCGGAAGGTTCGCCTGAAAAGCCTCCGGGTTTCGCCGCATTTCCGTTTTTGGAGCCCGCAACAACAGGAAATCGTTTCAAGGGAACCCCACGGGTTAATTTTTCTTTGCAGTTTTGAAGGGGAAGGCCAGGTTTTTCCGCTCAGATGGACGCTTTCTGGTTCTTTCCAGGCATCCCTCTGTCCAGGAAGCCATCAAACAGCCCAGGGGAAGCAGCTGGTTTTCGAAAGGAGCAATGGTTTTTGGAAGAATGGGGGAATCAACCCCTAGAGACGGGGGGGTTTCTCAAAATTGATTTTTGGGTTGGGTAGTTGGTCTCAGAATAGGCGGTTTGAGAGCACGCAGGTCCATTTGGGGTTCGGGACATCGGGGGCACTCATTGTGACCATGCCTCAAAACTTTTATTGGATTGGACAATTGGTACCTTGTTTTATTCACTTGGTCAAGGACCTTCGGTCCAAATCCTGGACTCGCGGAATCATTTTATCAGTTTTATCATGGTGCGGATCCTTGAAACCGCGGGAAACCAGGGTTTGTTGGGATTTGCAGGAAAAGCATCATTCCAGGGTTTCTGAACGGTGGTGCCTAAGAGGATTTCGTCCATCCGAAGTAGGATCGGCGTTCTGTGAACATGGTTAAGGCCAGGGACAGGTCCGCAAAGTGGCCCGAGCTGAGGTGTTTTGCATCCTGAACGAGATGGAGCATCGGTCGAACGAGGCCACGTCTCGCTGCAGATTTTGTTGCGTCAGGATTTCGCCTTTGCAGAATGAATCAGGGTTGCCACCTATGAGTAAGACAATGGCCAATTGAGCAGCCCCAGCCACAACCCATTGACTTTTAGTTCCACTCAGAAGATCGATTTCGCCGCACTCCAGCTCTCAAGCCATGGAAGTCCCCGCGTCTTTGACGCCGCCGCGCGCGTCTTTGACGCCATGCGTCGCTTCGGCCCGGGCGCATGTCGCCACTGCGAGCGCGGGGCAGCGCCCGGGCGGTGAGCCTCGTCTCCGCTGCGCCAGCGCCGGCCTTGCGGGCCTTTGCCTCGCCTCCGGGCGATGGCGCAGGCAGGGAATTGGAAACTGGGCGGCATGTTTTCAAGTTATTTCAGGTCAATCAACGTTTGCTTGGTTTGCTAGACAAGCCGAACCGCTTGTTTTTCTGGAATCATCTTCGCTTGTTTCTTTGTGAACCGCTTCACTTCTTGAACCAACTCCTCCTTGTTTTCCCTTAAAAGGCGACGGGACCTGTTGTGAACGGCGGGTCCCACGCGCAGGCGCGCGTGCACCCGCGCACGTCCCTCGCCGAAGAGCGCGCGGCAAGCCGCGGCGCCGGCGCCGGCGGGGCGCCCACTGGAGCTGCAGTCGGACTTCGACTCGGAAGACCCGGAGCTGCGGATGAACGCCACGAACATGGCCCGGAGGGGGAGAAGGGGGGAAGGGGGGAAAGGTGGAGGGGTTTGGGTTTTTAGCTTGGGTTTTGTCCCCGAGTCATGCTGTTCAGAGGGTTTTGTCTCCTGGCGCTTTTCGGACTGTTTTGTGTCCAGATAGCCTGGTTTGGATTTTGCATCTGGGTATGGGGTTTTGAGGGTTCCAGCAGGCTTGACCCTAAGTGTTCATGGTACAGCCGTGGGTGGGGGTAGCAGGACCAGTCTGGCAGGGTCCCAAATCAGCGCCCACAGAGGGCGATCTTGAATGTCCGTGGCCATTGGCAAACCATGCTTGCTTTTGGCTAGGTTCTGGGGCTGAATGCAACTTGCACAGAGAGGTTCCTTGGATTGACCACTACTTTCGAGGGCTGTCACGCTGTCGCACATGATGGGTTTCACATGAATACCGTACAACGTTAGCTGCAAGTGGGTGCGGATGGCTTGAGGAGTTGGGGGGGGGGGGGGGTTCAATCGCGTTTTCCCAGGAACATGCAAAGCTTCGGGCCTATCTGCAATTCCACCTCGATCAAAAATTAGTCCTGGCTATGGCAGATATTTGCCCTTCTGCCTCCTCATTGGCTTTGGTACATGCCTGCCTAACGTTTACCTTGAATCATCATGAGGCATGTTGCGATTCTGCTTGCACTTAGATGTTTATGTCAGCACAGCACCACTTTTGCATCCCAGGCAAAGCCCAAATGCATCATGGGCCCTTAGAAGAACGAAACAAGTGCAAGACGCCGATCGCTTGCGCCAAAGCGCCAAAGGACAATCGTGTGTCTTTTCTTCCTCTGTTGAAGCTCATCCATGCGCCGATGACCAGTTCACTTAAGATATTGTGTTATCACAGAATCACCTTTCCCCTACATGGTTTGGTTGGTGGTTTGGGCGTTCAGGGGTTAAGGGGTTGCCGTCCCCATTTGGCAAAAGGAGATGGGACCTGCCGCAATCCACTCTTTTGGGGGTACCTGAATCTTGGCTGCCCGCTTGGGTGTAGGCCCACCCTCCCAGCCACTAACGTGGCACCTCACAGGGTGTTTCTTTAAGACGAACTTGATCTTCCAGGTTCGCTCCCACAGGCACTGTGCATGGACAAAATCCATGTCGCACCACCGTTCCGAAACCCTGGAATGATGCGATTCCCCAGCGCAAATGCCAACCAACGTGATGCTTTCAACCATGGTTTCATCTCGTGGTGCGAACGGATCTCGCACGTATGGGTGGCAAACTCAACAAAAAGACAAGCACCCCCCCCAAAAAAAAGCAGGCGATTTCCCTTTACCCGTCCTTTGAACCAAGCCATTTTATGGGTACCGAGAGAAAAAATCAACCACCAATGAGGGGCCCCCAAGCTCGCCCAAGCCAAGCGGCAGCGTGGAGGTGGGGGCCTTCAGCCTGACCAGCACCCTCTGGCCGCCCAAGAAGCTTTGCCAGACTTGCCGCACTTCCCGGAAGAATCTTTTTTTTTCTTCTTCCTTTTTGTTTTTCTTGTTTCTTTTTTCTTTGCATTTTGGTTTGGTTTTGCTTGTGTTTGCTTTTTTTTGTTTGGGCTCCCTTCTTTTTTCACCCTCCGAACTTGTTTTTTTAACCCTTCCCTTTTTTTCAACCTCAAACCCTGCTTGGGAACCGTCGGCGGGAACCTTGTTTCTCCAACCCTGAGAAATCCTTTCTTTTCAACCCCTCACCTTGTTTTTTTCACCCTTTGCCTTGTTTTTTTCACCCTCCGCCTTGTTTTTTCCACCCGCGAGCTTGCTTGTTTCACCCCGCAACCTTGTTTTGCTCACCCTAAACCTAAAACAACCTAAGCCTGCCCCGCACCCAACCCAACCCAAACCAACCCTAGGCCCGCCCTAAGCCAAACCTTGCGAACCCTCAGTATCTCTAAATCCATCTCAAACCAGCCAAACACGCCCAAACCCACCCCAAACCCACCCTACACAACACCCCCTAAACTGCAAGCAAGCCAGAAACGTCTTTTGTCCAACCCTACACCCACCGCAAGCACCACAGACCTACTCCAAACCACCCTAAAGCATACATAACCCACCCCTAACCAATCCCAAACCGACCCTAAACCAACCCTAAATCAAGAAACTAAACCAACCCTAAACCAACAAGCCAGTCCTGCACCCACCCTAAACCCACCCTACACGAACTCTAAACCCACCCGAACCTTGATCCAACCATAATCCCACCCCACACCTTAAGCTTAGCCTAAGCCAACAACACACCCACCCTAAACCCGCCTAAACCCCAATCCCACCCTAATCTAGCCTTAATGCAACCCTAAGCCCAACCTAAACCAACCCTGAACAGACCCACCGACCCAAAACCAACCCTCAACCCGAAAACGACCCTAAGCCAATCCTAACCCAATCCTAAACCCACTCTAAACCAGCTTTAACCAATCACGAACCACCCCGAAACCAACCTTAAACTCAAGCCCAGCGAAAACCAACCCTAAACCAACCTTGCACCCACCCTAAACTCACCCAAAAACAACCCTAAATCCCCACCCTAACAACGCTAAACCCACACTAAACTCAAAACCAACCTAGCCCGACACCAACCCTAACCAACCCTGAGCCACTCCAAAGCAACCTTAAACCAACCATAAGCCCACCCTGTACCAACCATGAACCTACCCTGATCCAACTCTAAGCGCACCCTGAGACTCTAAGCTGAGCTTGGCCCAACCCTAAATCCAGTGAAGCCAACCCTAGGCCAGCCGCAAAACCAATCCACATCCAAGCCTAAACCAACCCCAAACCCCGCCCTAAACCATCCCAGACCAACCCTGAACCAACCTATATCCAACCCAAAACAAACGAACAACATACCCTTAAACACCCTAAGCCCACCTGAAATCAAGCCACCCCAAATCAACCCTAAGCCACCCTTGAGCGACCCCAAGCCTCCCCTAGCGCAACCCCAACTCCACCCTAGACATAGACAAACCGTAAACCCGCCCTGAACCAACCCTACACCAACCCTAAGCCAACCCTACAGCCACCACAGACCTACTCCAGACCACCTAAACCAAACACAAACCCACCGAAATTCTGCTCTAAATCTACCTAATCCAACTCTACACCCGAAGCCGACCCCAAACCCACCTCAAACAGATTCTAAGCCAACACTAAATCCACCCTAAATCCACCCTGAAGCCTTTCGACACACGCCCTAATCCCACCCTAAACTAACACCATGTAAGTCCAACATTAATCCCAAGCCTGACCTCACCCTAAACCCATTATAACCCCCCCTGAACCAACCCTAAATCCATCCTAAACCCGCTGTAGACCCATTCTCCAAGCCCAAAACCACCCTCATCCAACTTTAAACCCACCATATACCCAGCACAGACCTGCTCGAAACCAACCTTAAACTTAAACCGACCACACACTTGCTCAACAAACCCTACCCCGCCTCTAAACCCTTAAATCCACCCTTCCCATCCGAAACCAACCCTAAACCCACCTACCCCCCCCGCCCGAACCCACCCTAAACAATCCCTAAATCCAAAGCCGCTCCTAAACCAACCCAACCCTGGACAGTTGCTTAGTGCAGTTGCCGCAAACTTCGGCCACAGGGCTGGCAAAAAAGAAATGGAGGGTTAAAAGGAAGAGGTGGAGGGTCAGAAAGAAAGGGGGGAGGGTTAAAAAAGAAGGGGGGAAGGTTTAAAAAACGGGGGAAAGCATGAAGGGTTGAAAAAACAGGGAAGGGTTGAACAAAAAGGTTTGGAGGGTGAGAAAAAAGGGTTCCCCCCTTTTCTTTTCTTTTTGTTGGTTTTTGTGCTTTGTAGGTCCCAGAAGCCAGCAGTTGCCAGGTTGACCCCTTGTGGGCCTTTTTTTGACGGGATGCCGCCTTGACATGCCGCCACGCCGAACCCAAGCTGGACATGCGAGCGGCAGGAAGTTGGCCCAGTCACCCCGCTGTCCACATGAAGAACCCCACCAACGGGTCTCTGTCAACAGAAATCGGTCTTCCAGGGGCCCTCAGTTCGGCTCCAATTTTGGTGGGAAATGCGGGTATCAGAAATGCGGCTTTGCGAGAGGTTCGGGTTCCGAAAGGCTTTCGTTGCAACAGCTTCAGGAGAAAACACCCTAACTGAGCTGTTTTTTTGGTAGAATGTCCTGCACCCATTTTATCGGATTTATGTTTGGCATTTTAAGCGCTCAAACACAAGCCTGCATTCTCTTTTAATATCAAAAATCATTTGATTGATTGATTGCTTTAGTATTTTTTGTTATTGTAAACACAACTCTCTTTGTTTGTTTTTGTTGTTTGTTTTGGACAAGTTACAAATCTATAAGATCACCCACCCTTTATCGACAGCACATGGCCCCTAAAACCACCCTAAATCCGCTGCTTTTTTCCAGTAGCCCAACCCTTTGACATGGCCGCAACCCGCCCTAGCTAAGCTGTTCTCTTGTAGAATTTCCTGCGCCCACCCTTTTGAGACTGACAAATTTATTTCCTGTACCCCACGAGCTTCGAGCTTCGCGCTTCCAGGAAGCTGATGATGAACAACGCGGAGATGTCCCCGGTGAAGTTCGAGACCACCGTGGGCCGCTACACCGGCTCCGCGCCCCCCTTCAGCGAGTGGCCCTTCTATGAGGCCCCACCAAGCAGCGGTTTCTCCGGGGTGGCAAGGCTTGGGGTCCTGGCGCATTTTTTTCCTCTCCTCCAAAAAGAATCGTCTAATGTTTACTGGATAGGTTAGTTTGGGATTCATTTTTTGGAGTTGTTTACTCATTTGTGTTTAGTTGTTCCCATGCAAATGGACGGAAGGAACCCGAAAGGGGGGTGAGGCGACAAGTTTGGGCTTGTCTCTTTTTTTCAAACGCTTGTTCGGAGTTGTCTACCACCTACAAATGAATGGACGGATCCTGAAAGGGTTTCCATTTCCCGAAAGGAGTTTCCTCTAGACACACATGTGTTTTTTTGGGTTCCATATCTGTAGGGGGACAGGGAAACAAAGTGCCACCAACATTTTGCTGGCAACCGGCAGCGTATGAACCGAGGTGATGTTTTAACATCGGTTCTGAAAGTGCGGAAGGTTCAGAGTAAGCCTTTCAAAGTCTCGAGGCAGGAATAGAGAGGGTGTAAACAGTACAAGTCTTCTTGGCAATGTTTGTGGAGCTGAAGCTGTTGGATTTTTGCTTCGCACTTGCAACTCATTGCCCGGGTTTTTGGTCCTGTTCATTTTTAGCAGGGGCTCCAATTGTTTTTTGTTTTTTGCTTCCATACCAAGGTTGGACAGATCCAACATGACCTAAAATCCATCGTCCGGCATTTTTTTTGGGTGGACCGTGTCTCGTTTTTTGCGGCACGAGACTCTGGTGCTGCCGCACTGCCGCACCCGACTCGAGTCTCGCGCGGTTTCCGGCTTCGAGGCGAAGGAGGTGCCGCCCTTGGAGGAGTCCGCGGAAGAGCTGTCGATCTATCGGGTGGTGGACTTCTCCAAGGTGGGGGAAAGGGCGCCGGGTGGACGTAAGACACCCAACGGCAGGACGCGATGCCCCGTGCACATGCCAAGAGGCGCTGTGGTTTTCAGCCATGGTCTCAACAATTTTGTGGTTTCAATCGTGGTTTCAGAGTGGAACCCAACGGAATGATGCGATCCCCCTGGCAATACCAATCAGCGTTATGGTTTCAACCATGGTTTCGTAACCCGGGTAGATGAAGGTAAGGGACAATCCGAACTTGCCATAAAGAGCTGCGGAGATCCGCCGAATCTGAGTTGCTTGCATGGTTCTGGGTAGGCCATTTTTAGAACCGGCTTTTGTTGATGACTCATCTCGCACCACTGTAAGCCCTGGAGCGATGCGATTCTTCTGCCAGCCAGTGAGTTTTGAAGGGAACCCCCGTGAAATAGTGACGAAGTCAGATGGATGGGGAACCACACTTTCGTTTCACAGAAGAGGTTACTTGAACTAAGGATGGGACGCTTACTGGAAGGAAAGGAAGCTCGTTGTTTGCGACCCGCGCGGAGTTTTTTCTTCTAGTTAATCTTTGAGGGCTGGTGGCAGTGTGGATGCAAGCAGAAGAGAAAGCGATTTGGTGGATGTCGTCGGAAATTCGGATCACTTGTTAGGCTAGAGGTTTCCAAACACATCCAGGTTTCTCAGTTTACTCCCTCGTATATGCTGAGTTGCGGCCACATCGTAGGGTCACCTTGCAATCCAGCCATGATGCTCTGAGGCTTTGTGGGTGGATTGGTTTGGGGGAACGCCTGCGAAGCGCCGTGTGGTTTGCGTGTTGGTGGGGTGACTTCAGTGTTCCCACCCTGCCTTTCCCCTCTCGTCCCGCCCCGGCAACCTCCCCCCCTCACCACGCCTGTAGACTCCTTTTCCCAGGTCTCCCCACATTTTCCTGGAGGTTTTCGGCCTCACCCTTTCGGGAGCTGTTGGGTGCAGTGCGGAGATTGAGGGCAACAGGCCAAATTGGGTTATACTTGCTGGTGCTCAGCAGGGAATGCGAAAAGGAATGACCCTTATAACCTTGCGGACCAAAGGTTGGGTTCATTCAAGCGCATTCCCTGCCTATCGCTCCAGCGCTGGTTTTGCCATAGTGACCCACCTGAGGACTCTGGCCGTGACACGTGGGTTTCCGCCCAGGACGTGACGCGGGCCTTCGCGTTGGCCAGCCGGTGGCAGAAGAACAACCTGGGCCGGTCGGCGGGGTTCAGCCGCATGGGCTCCTCGTCTGATGTCACTCGGGGGCGGGCAAGAGGGCCATGGGCCGCTTTTTTGTTTTTTGTTTTCCGTATCTGCAGGCCCCAAGGCGGCCCGCGAGAACACAACTCAATGCCGGCGCTGCCACCCTCCTCCAATGGGTTTTGGGGTTCCAGGTGGGCCGGGAAAACACCCCGCATTCTTGCCAAGCTCGCCCCGAAATTCAAAAAAAGAGAAGGCAATGCTTTCAGCGCGGACCACATGGGGCCGCAAGAAAAACCACAACAGAAAAGCCAAGGCAGCGAGAGGCTCCGAAGCTTAGCGAGCCGCCTAGGCTCGGGGAAGCTGAGCAGCTTCAAGTTCGCCAACCCCATCATGATGCGCCAGCTGCAGGCGAATTGGGCGGTGGCGATGGCCCAGTTCGCGCGCGTGGGTCGAAAATGCCGCATGGCGTCCGGCGAAGTAAGTGGGGTGGGGGTGAGGGGGTGAGGGGGTGAGGTTTTTCGGGGGAAGGGAAGGTGGGGGGAGAGATGGGCGAAATGGATCGAAATGAGCGAAATGCCTTGAGGGAGGCGTTGCCTTCCCGAATTGGAAGAGCTTCGGGACCTACGCTTCAGGTCCATTTTCTGGCCGGTCTTGGGCCCGGCACCTTCCTAGTGGCTTGAAGCGTCCATTAAGAAGCCGTTGCAATTTTTGACCCCAGGCTTTTGAGGTACGTGGCAACTTGTGGAGAGGCTAAACGTTGAGGTGACGCCTTTTTGCAAGAACGCCTTTGCCCTATCACACCTTCAACTTTGCCCTATCCTGTCCTATCCTTTCAGAACGGGTGTTGTCAAACATGGCCAAAAGCTGGTGGGAGCAGCATTTTTCAAGCCTGCGGTAGTTTCTGGCAACGGGGACCTTCGCATGTGTAGGGAGTTCCGTGATTGAAGGAAGGTTTGGCACTATTGACAGAGGAGCACCTGCCCCGGCCACAAAAGGACTTGATATTGGCCTTGGCACTCTGAAGCTTTGAAGCAGCCGGTCGGCTCTCAAGGGTTCCAACAAACAGATTCCGGATTGCTTGCGGCTTGCGCAGGTCCTGCGCATGTAGCATTCGGTCCTTTGCAGGCACGTTGTTTTTAGACCCCGACGGGAAGATTTCGACAGGGGCTCAACGTACTGCTGCCGTGGATGGAGGAGCGTGGTCTCGAGGAGGCGGGGGAGTTGGGTTTGTGCAGATGCGGACCCCCTGGTCCCTTGTGTCTGTTAAAACTATGGTGACCCCAATGGGTTGGTTTTCGCACTTCCTCCGGGAAGTGCTTCAAACGCTCGCGCTTTAAAGTGCCCCATCTTGGACTCTGAATCTGAGATGTGACCCCACCGTTTTCGGCCTGAGGGCTACACAAGTGCTGGTTTCAAGAGCCTTGGGGATACACGAAGATTGCTTCGAGGAGTTGAACCAAGTACTTCAAGGCGTCAGCCGACAACCGTTTGCTGCGAAATGTGGCGACATCCGTTTGATGCGCGAAATGTGGTGACAACCCCCGAACACATGAGCTTGCCAGTTCTGTTGCGAAAACGGGTTGCTTACATTTTCTTTAAATGAGTTTCAGCAAGGGAGCCTCCTCAAAAGTGGTTGGTGAACAATGCCTATCAGGTTGAAAGTCCAGCAAAGGGTCACTAATTAACATGAATTTTTATATGGGCATGGATCAAATTAAGCCATCAAAGCACCGCAGGTTTTAGTCAATGTTTCCATTTACCAGGGCAACCCATTTTGGGGTTACCCTATTTTTGACCCACAGCCCACAGCCATGTGTTTCCTTTGGCCTTTGCTGGAATCTGATTGGATTCGAAGCTCCCAAGCTCCGCCCAGTTGACGCCCGCAGAGCTGGAGGACGTCTGCGCGCGTCGTCACCGGGGCCCCACCCCCCACATGGCCGTGTCTTCTTTTGGGGGGCCCCCGCAAAAATGGTTGGTTTGCTTTTGGTTCCGTTTAGCTCCGACCAAATGGGGGTACCAACTCCAAACAAAGCACAGCCAAATAAAAGAGGAATCTCCCAGGGGCTAGGGTTTCGGGTTTCATATGTCAATTTGGTGGATTTGTTCTGCTCAGTGTCGGTGCGGCTGAACCTCTGTTTCTTGGGTTTCGTGTTAAATTGGCGTGCAAGAGTTTGGGCCAGCGCGGGGAGGGGGGGGGGATGCATGTGCCAAGCAGCATCCCCCGCCTGGGTTCAATGTTAATTTGGGGGACGCAGGGGGCAAGAAAAGCCAACATTGCGAAGTTCTCCGCAGATGAAACTTCTTTTGGGAATTGACCCCATCTTTTCGGCTCCATGTGAATGTACAGGGGGGTGTTGCAAGGTTTTCCCTTTGGCAGGGTTTTGCCTTACATGAGTTTAGGTCCCAGCTGAAAAAGAAGAGGATGCAATGCCCCAAGCCTGCAGGGTTGGGGAAAATGGTCCCGGTTTGGGTCATTTTCCTTTTTGAAAGGGACCATTCAGGCTCCACGTCAAATTGGTGTGAGGGACATTTGGCGCCACGCATCCTAAAGCAGCCCTGGGTCCTGGTCTGGATCATTTTTCCTTTTGGAACGGCGCCAAGCTTACTTTTGGGTTGGTTGGGGTTCGGGTTCATTTTGGGTCGCAGCAGTTCTCGGCGGTCCGCCCTAAAAAACTGGCCATGGGTCAAAATTTAAATTGTACCCCCAGTGAACATCCGATTCAATCCCCCCCAAAATAGGTTCTAAAATGGGTGGTGAATTCACCTACCAAAATGGGATCCAAAACGGTTTTTCTCCCAAAATAGGAAGCCTAAAAAAGGTGGTTTGTTTTCACCTACCAAAATGGGATCCAAAACGGTTTATCCCCCCCAAACAAATAGGAAGCCTAAAATGGGTGGTGAATTTACCTACCAAAATGTCCAAAACGGTTTAGCCCCCCCAAAATAGGACGCCTAAAATGGGTGGTTTGTTTTCACCTACCAAAATGGGATCCAAAACGGTTTATCCCCCCAAAATAGAGAGCCTAAAATGGGTGGTTTGTTTTCACCTACCAAAATGGGATCCAAAACGGTTTATCCCCCCCCCCAAAAAAAAACAAAATGGGATCCAAAACGGTTTATCCACCCCCAAATAGGACGCCTAAAATGGGTGGTTTGTTTTCACCTACCAAAAGGGGATCCAAAACGGTTTATCCCCCCCAAAATAGAGAGCCTAAAATGGGTGGTTTGTTTTCACCTACCAAAATGGGATCCAAAACGGTTTATCCCCCCCCAAACAAATAGGAAGCCTAAAATGGGCGGTGAATTCACCTACCAAAATGGGATCCAAAACGGTTTATCCTTCCATTTAAATAGGAAGCCTAAAATGGGTGCTTTGTTTTCACCTACCAAAATGGGATCCAAAACGGTTTATCCCCTCCAAAATAGGTTCTAAAATGGGTGGTGAATTCACCAATCCCAACCAAAATGGGATCCCCTTGAACGGTTTGACCACCACAGCCATCTCTCGAGGAGTTCCTAGACTCCGTGGAGGCCGGGGACTTCATCCGTCGGGAGTTCTCCGCCGTGGCGCCCGTGCAGCGCCGCACCAAGGCGCTTGCGTCGAAGCGTTGAAGCGTCGGCGGATCCGTGAAAGCGATTCGCCCAAAGAGAACCAAAAGAAGATCCCCACCCCCTCAAACAAGGGGGAATGACCCCCCACTTAAGGTAACCCATGGGTTTTCATGGCAATGGGGTACTTCATGGCACTTTCTTTTAGGTTACGTGGTGATCTGGGGATTTGAATCCCTTCTTGTAGGCCTCCCCTCCACACCATCAATCCAAACCACCCATAAATGGCGGGAACCTGAAAGCCAGGGCATTTCTTCAAGCGGTTATCTTCTCGGTTTCCAGGCCAGGGTTCCCCCCTTGCAGTGAGCACTTGCTGGTTCTGAGGGGATCAACTTGTGCTTTGGGAAGCCAATGGATCCCATTGGAAACTTGGGATGGAGTTCAGCTCGCGGGCGATTTCAACGAGTTTCTTGAGAGTCCGAAGGATTGGTTAAGATTCGGGTGTCACAATTTTGGGGAGATCAATTTACCGATGTGTGGTTGAAAAAGGAATCCAGCTCAAAACTGCATGGGTTCCGAAAGGGCTGCGTCTCTTTTTTTTGGACCGAACTTTCTTGGCCGCTTTTTTTTTTGGAGACCCCCCCTGAGACGGATTTCGGCTTTCGACCCAACGGGTGCCGAGCTGAGCCGCTCTCCGAGACGTCGACGCCGAGAGGTGAGCGGCCTGGTGGGCTCCGTAGGCTCCGCGCTGGCGGTGTGGACGCAGGCGTCCGGCGGAGCGGTGGAGGTCCACTTCTGCCTAGGCGCGGGCAGTTGCGGTGTGGTTGCGAGGGGGGAGTCGATGTGGGGGGGGGTGGGGGGATGGGGGATGGGGATGTGTCAAACCTGTAGGGCGGGGGGAGGGGGTGGGGGGCGGGGCAACGACAATTTGTTGGTAGGGTTCCAGATTTCAAGCCCGGAAAGGCTTGAAGGGTCCCAAAATTAGACATTTCAGGTGGTTTCGTTTTGGTTTTCTCTCTGCCAAGGTGAGAGGGAACCGGTTCTCAAATCCACCCACCATAAACCCACCTAACCCGACCCTAAACCAGCACTAAACCAACCGTAAGCTTTCACACGCTCCGCCCTTTTCAGGTTGCTCTTCAGGCAAACCTAAAGGCAAATCACCACGCCGCCCAATTTTGGCACATACCCAACATGTTTGCTCTTTGGAGGGAGGGGGTTGGGCAAACTCTTGGTGATATATTTTCGCACCGTCCCTCAATGGCGGAACGCTAACACCAGCAAAATCGGGGCCTTGGAACATGTGGGTGCGTCTTAGAAAGCCCCCAAAGGCTTTTCCTTCAAAGCCATCAGCAAAACGGGCACCGAGCCTCAAACCTCAAAAAGCGACGAGTGAGTCCCAAGCTGCTCTCACACCCGTCGAAAGCTCAGCCTTCGGCGCAGGCCACGACTGCCTCATCGAGGTGGGACAGAGACTCAAAGGGGCGCTGGTCATGTGGTAGGCTTCAAGTGGCAGGGTTTCCAATTCACAAAGGTGGAATTTGACTTCACTCTGATCTTGGCAAGTCTTTTTGTTTTCTGTTTTTTGTTTTTGGTTCTGTTTTTTTTTTTTTTGGGGGGGGGCTGTTTTGGGAGACCCCATGCCAAGGATTGTGAAGTGAGGGGTTCTGAGAGTTGACCCTGGGCTCAAACCACTGTGTGGATGTCACTTTGGTGGGTTGCAGGGGGATTTGAAGAACTCCGACTTTTCAGAGCCTTAGCTTGGAGCGAAAGGGGACACAGCCGTCGGACATTGAGGACACGTGAGCTCCGAAAAGTGAGGAGGTGGCGAGCATCCATCTCGCTTGGTTCTATGCCGAAATCCTCTGAAACCCCCGCTTGGCACCCACTGCCCCCGTTTCATCCTACTTTTTCATCACTGCCAAAATCCAGTCATCCAGTCCGTCCACAGTACCGGCAGTAGTTAGCCGTTGATGTGCCTCCCAGAGCCCCTTCCGGGATTTTTGATCTCCCCTTCTGGTCGTTTCCCAAACGTCATTTTCGTTACGTCTATTCTTCTTTTGGGCCCCCCCAAAACCAGCAAATGGCGGTTTTCCACCTTTCGGAGCCAGCAAAAAACGCCCCAAACACGGGTAGCCCCAAGAAGCCGCCGGTTTTCGGTCGACCCATGGCCCATGGCACGCGGCTCCAGGGCCCCGCGGCGGAGGAGCGGCTGCTGCGGCTGCTGGCCACCGGCGAGGGCGGCGCCGGCGCCGGCGCGCTGCGGTGCCGGGCGCGCTTCACCGCGCCGCGGAAGATGGGGGATATGGGTGGGGGGCTGGGGCTGGGGTGGTGGGGGGGTGGGTGTGGGTTGGGGGCTGGTTTTTCGGGCTTGGTGGTTTTTGTTCGTAGGGGGAGGTGGGGCAGGCTGCTGGGTTTGCGGGTTTGGGGGCTTTTTTTTGAGGGGTTGTAAGTTGTAACGTTGATTGTTTTCGAAATCCGTTCAAAGCACCACAGTTTTAAAGTCCATCAACGGTAGGCTCCCACACTGCGGGGCACCTGGCCCAAACCCATGCACGTCTTTTCCGGCCAGCCTCGAAGCCTCAGGAGAAGGGCAACCTGGTGGCGCCGTGCCAAAATCTCGGCTTCCAGCTGGCGGGGCCCTCAGGTTTCGGAGGTTGGCATGGGAGGCACCAGCTCGCCAGCGCCTTTTTTTTCTCCTCTCCTTTCTTTTCTTTTTTTTTTGGACGTGCAGGTCGAAATCCACCCATTTTGTTGGTAGATGTTCGCACCAGGTCTCCTATTTTGAGCCGCCGCGGCCAGAGCCGCGGAGCGGCCAGGGGGGGTTTGGGGGGTTTTTGCCCACTCCGCGGGGCCGATCGAGGCGGCGGGGGAGAAGGCATACGAGGAAGACCACAGCGACGAGATCGCGATGAACGACCCGAACTTCACAAAGCTGAAGCGCCTTGGGGCCGGCCGTCAGTCGTTTTCTGCTTTTTTTTTGCTCAGCGCCTTGGGGCCGGTCGTCGGGCGTTTTCTGCTCTTTTTTTTTGCTCAGCGCCTTGGGGCCGGTCGTCGGGCGTTTTCTGCTCTTTTTTTTTGCTTGGGCCTCGGGTCTTGGGCTCATTTGAAGCTTGAGGCAGCGCTGGGCTTGAAAAAAGGAAAGGGACGAGAAGGCGAGTTGGTCCCCAAAGATTTCCAAAAGTGAGCAGGAACTGCAGCCCGGTGACCACATGCCAACACGATGCTTTCTTGCCGCATATCGAACCCCAGGAATTACAAGGACATCCCGGAGGCAGTGCCAGGACACGCAGTCCCCGGCCGCGTTGAAGCCCCTTGGGTTCCCTTAAGCATTCGAGTGCCAAGACCCAGGCAGTCGAAGAACACTTTTCAAGACATTTTTTCCAGGACGGATCAAGTGTCTGTTCAGACTTTGATCCCTAGGGCCCTTTCGGGCTGGAACTTGCGGCTTGCAGTGGTCACGTGGAGGGATGGGGACTCACTAAGTCTCAACCACCTAGGAGGTCACTCCTTTTGTCTAGAAAACGGTTTGGACGTGGCTTTCATGGATCCCCTGTAGTCCAAACCGCTTTCTAGACTTTGGGACCACGTCATTTTGATGGCTCATATTCAATGCTTAAAGAGGGTCCAGCCCAAAACAGGCCCATTTTCATAATTTTGTGAAACCCACTGCGTCGAAGACACGAAGAAGAAGAAACCGACCAACCATGAGTCACATCCAATGCTCCTCCAAAACAAATTTAAAGCTTCGAGGGTTTCTCCAAGCCGGGAGTCTCGATGTTTCCCCTTCAAATGCCCCAAACGCAGTCGGCGTTTCCACAATTTGGAGAACTCCCATTGGTGTTGGCAATCCTGGGCACTCCCAATTCCCCGACATAAAGCAGAACATATCCCGAATTGAACAATCAGGCTGCCATGCAGGCTGGCCGCGCGCTGGCTTGCCACTTGCCAACCAAAAGGAGGCGGCTGTTCCACTTTGAGAAACCCGGGGGCGAACCACGATAGCAAAGCCGCGATTTGAATCACGAAGCCCAAATTGACAAATCTCCTGCCAACAACAACAACACCTTAGCCTCCTGTCCACATTTGGCCATACCTGACCTTAGATGGGGGTCCTGGAAGACCAGTTTTGCCTTACGGACACCTTTTTGGTGGGTTCCATGCGCCAGGACTCCGGACCTGGCTGCTGCTGCTGTGCCTGGAGGACGGGGTTTTCGAAAATCCGTGCAAGACCACACTTCCGTTCTTTGGGTTAGGGTTGGAGCTTTCCAAAAGCCCGAAGGCTCTCCAGTTGTCAGGGCATCATTTCTGACTTCTTTCGTGCCGGTGATGCGAGCGATTCCGAAGCCCCCCGGCAAAAAACAAGCACAACTCCGAGTAACTCCTGCGGTTTTTCTGGTTTCCGGGTGGCGGAAAAAGTGGCCGCAAGCCAATCCCTGGGCCCTTTGGAATCGGAGGGGACTTCTGCCAAGGGCGAAGCCAAAGCGAGGGGTGGCGAGAAAGTTGGGGACAACCACGTCGCCCCAAAGGCCAAGCGAATTAGTGGCAAGACAAGCCCATGGCCATCAGAACGGGATGGTGCTCCCCTTCAACAAATCCAGACGGTTTTCCAGTTATTCCAGACCACCTCGATTTAGGGGAATGGAAGACCAGTTTCCTTCTTAAGGGGCCCGGTTCCTGTGGTTCGATTTGCTTCTTCGGAGGGTTCTCGATGTCTGACCACCGCCATCGTCTAGGACCGCATCGAGGAGGCGAACGCCTGGTGCCACGAGATGGGCGCCGCCGAGTTGCAGGAGGCTCAAGCGTCGGCTCGAGCGGTTTGGGGGGCGGGGGAGGGGGGGGGGAGGTCTGGTGGGTTTTTGTTTGGGGAAGGCGGCTTCCCTTTTAAAGTGCGAAACAAAAAAAGGAAGAAACAAACAGCACAAAGAAACTTGGGGGCGGGGACGGGGGGGCAGGGGGTGGAACAAAATCACAAGGACTCGGACACACAATTTCCAATGTCCCTCTTGTGCACCATTGTAACTAGGGTTAACCCCCAGATTGAGTTTGGGTGTTCTCTGAAGGTGCCATTTTCAGGGTTGTCTTAGGAAGCCGAAAGGAAGCCGCGCGCGACAGCGCTTCGGGAATCCCTGGTGAGACAGGCGAAAAGTACCTTGTTTAAGCGGATATCTACCTGGAGCGTTGTTTCAGGGTGCCACCCTCCCCGCGTTTCTCCGTCGCGGTGGTAAACCACAGGTAGGGGGGGGAGGGTCTGGAAATGACAGAGGTTCACCCAGAATGGCAGATCAGTTGCAATTTCTTGATAGGTTGAATGCAACTGCATCTTTTGGAGGGGACCAAGCTTGGTGTCTCTTCTCTTTGCCCAACCCAAGCTCCCGACTCCTGTCGGGTCTGGCCGGCTGTGTCGCGAGCACACTCGATGGCCACTCCCTCTTCTTTCTGGCTCCCAGCCATCCCCTTAGCTTGAATGTATTCAAAAGAGCTTCTGTGAGGACCCAATTGAAATCCAGCAAAATCCACCCCAAATGTGCGACAATTGTTTCGACAAGTGTTTTGACAAAACCCTGAAGCTCAAACAATTGTTGCGACAGGTTCAGTGGGGGTTAGCTTTTCAGGTTCAGTGGGGGTTAGCTTTTCAGGTTCAGTGGGGGTTTCCATCCAACCCGCTAAAGTGTCACTTTTAGCTGGGGAGCCCAGTCTCGAAATGGTCCAAAAGGTGTCTGCGAATTTGGTTTCCCGAGTTTGAAGCGCCCCTTCCAGCATACGCAGAGGGGTGAGCTCTTCCCTCCCCCCTTCCCAAACAGACAAAAAAACAAAGGTGTGTTTTCCATGCTTCGAATCACTTCTTGCGATCCATGGATGAAAAACCTCGAACGCGATCAGGTTTCTAAGCGGGGGTAGTGCCGCAGGAAGGGTACTCAGCATGCGCATATCCGAGTATCAAGCACCTATCGGCATCACTCACCAACCCTGGTATCAATTTTCTACCCCCGGTAGGCAATCCTGGGCAAAATCGCCCACGCAAGGTGTGCTCATTCCTCTCATAGGACTAGTGCCAACATGTTAGCTGTTTCTTGGGGCCGCTCCTAGAGAGGCTGCATCCCGCATGCTGGCAAAGCCAACGCCTGATTCAGGAAACATCAGGTAGTTGAAGTGTCTCAAAATTGCGTTCAGCTGTTTATAATGGTGTAAACCATTCGTTCACACCTAGCAAGTGATGTTTCACTCCACCCGACAGATTCAAAGATGGCCTGGTTGACGTTTAACAGGTGATCTTAAAGCCCAGGGTTTCTAAACCAGAGCTTGCCTCCGAACCCGGCCTATGACAGCTTGGTTTGGTCAGTGCTCGGTAGGTGATCGAGAGCAGAGAGGAGCTGGCGGACTTCCTCATGGACATGGAGGCGATCACTCCAGGTGAGAGGCAGGGAAAAGACGCAGCGACACACAGATGGCCAGCTCGGGGCTCGGCGCCATGATTTTTCACTCAAGGATCCTTTTTTTTTTTTCTTCTTTTTTTAGGGTGTGACAGATTTTGGAAATACAGCAGGTGAATGTTATATCCATGTTTGATGGTTGCCGACCCATCACGGCGAGAAGGATCCAATGATCGACTAAGCCCCTCCCCCTCAATTTTAGCCTTCCCCCCCCCCCCTCCCTCGCCCTCCCTAATAATAAAACCCGCGGTGGGTTGAATTCTTAGGGTTGTTAGGGTTTGGGCCAGAACTGTTTCAGATTGCGTTGTTCAGTACTGGCATCAAATGGGAAAGGGGGACCCCTTTGATTTGTAGAAAGGGTGATCAAGCTGCAATTTCCGAGTAAAGCACTCTTGTTCTTTTTCAAAAAGGCAACTATTAAGAACAACCCTGCTTTGTTTTCAAAAATAAACCCCCTAAAGGGACCTAATGGAGACCCTAAAAATAGAACCCTTGTCGCGCAAGGTAGAGTCCTTCGGTTTGAGCGAAAAAGCGCCCAGAACACAACTTTTGAGTCAGATCTGGGTTCGGGAGAGTTTAGCATTGGTTTAGTAGTGGGTTTGAAATGCATATTGGCCAGTTTTGGGGTTGGCTGGGGGGAGTTTTGTTCTTAGGGGACGGCTCATGAATAGGAAGAAGGGATTACACAAGTCCCTTGTGTCGGCCAGGGCGATGACGAAGCCAGGTCAGCTTGTGGCAGTCCGCAAGCAAACGGCTTCAAAAAGGACTCAAACCTGGGGGCACATGTCCCCTTTTTTTTCCCCTTTTTTTTTGCGCGCAGGCAAGCCATTATGGAGCGAGATCGCTAAGACTCCAGCGCTGCCTTGTGCCTTGGCCTTATGCCCAAGATAGGCGTGGAGGTGGGTCTTGAAGGTCTGCTTGCAGTAATCTTAGCTTTGGATTGGAACGAGGACCCGTCTGCTCGTGAGTGGCTTGCCGTTTAGTAGGGGAAGTATCTATTTTAGGGGGTCTTTTCCTTCGACTTTGGCTTTTAGGTAAGCAGTTCTTGCGGAAAACGCGCTTTTTTCTGCCCGAGGTGCTAATGATCTATGCTCGAATGGGAGCACGCGTCTCACAGCCTGAGAGACTTCAGAGACTGGCGGCCTCGCGACCCCAATTTTCTTCGAACGGAAAAACAAACCGCGTCGTGGGTCGCTTTTGCGCGGGGCATGGGTCGGCAGCCGTGCAGGTCGTGCCGAAGGAAAGCGGAGATCCCAAGATGCGGTCCTTGAAGCTCACCCCACCAAGAGGAGATTCATCGTAGCATTGTCAACCAGGGAGATGTGTAGATTCTTGGAGCGGACATGTGAGTGTGTCTTTAAACTGGGGGAACCTGCATTTTTTTTCTTCTTCAGATAGGCTCCGGGGTCCGGGGCGGCCCTGGGGTAAGGTTCGACCAGGGTTTCACCAGGGTTCCATGAGGGTTTCACCAGGCTTCGCATGCTGTTGGGGATATCGCCTGAGCTAATTTTGTTGGTTTCCCCCACCCAAAAGTGGGTGCCTTCAAAAAGGGACGCCACCTCCCCCCCTCCACCGCAGCCAGGTGGTGGTCGGCTTGCGTCAAGCGGACACGTCGATGCAGTCCGTGGCCTGGAGTTCCGTAGTCCGTAGTCCGTGGTTTGGTTTGTGCGACCCAGAAACCCAATCTCAGGTGGGTGGCTTGGATTCACCGACCAAAAACAGCAAAAACCAAACCACTAGGTCCCCCAGTAGTGCCCTTTTACCCTTTTTTGGTTGGGAGGGTTCCCCTACTAAAATAAAACGGTACCCTTTTCTAACCTCCCTACTGGAGGTCCTAGATCAGCTGGAGCGGAAGCTGACCATTGGCCATCTTGATGCTGAAAGGCCCAGTAGGCAGAGGGAGAGGGCTGAGAAGCAATAGGGGCCTTGAATCCCTAAAAACACGTTCCTTGCATACTTTTCCAGGGGGGGAAGGGTGGACGGGAGGGGGGAAGGGGGGAGAAGGGGGGCGGAGAAGGGGGGAGAAGGTTGCTGGGTGGATCATGAGGCCGAACCGTGGCTTGGCTGAACCGTGGATTTGAGGCGCTTCGGCCGCAGCTACGGATCTGATGCCCTGCAAGACGTGCGGGGCTACGGGTCAAGATCGCAGCGGAAGGAGTTGAGGAATGCGAGAGAGAGAGAGAGAGAGCGAGACATAGCTAAGCAGACAAACAATATATGTATATATATATATATATGTGATAGGTGACTATCTACTTGATATACATTACATGTCCCCTTGACCTCCTGTCCTGAGACCTTGTTCTTCTGGCCAGTGGGGCCGGACCTTGTCCGAGGCCTGCCGGCTGCCAGCCTTCTTCTCTGACGCGGCCGCGTACTACCGCAGCGAGGCACGCCCGCGCATGCGCTTCAATCCGACGAAGCCGGTGACCAGACGCAGGGCGAAGTGAAATCCCCGGCAGAATTGAATAGTCGTCAAGCAGCAAGAGGGGGAGCGAAAAAGGGTGGACCAAGGAGCAGGCTCAGGTTGGCGATTGGCTCATTGCCCGGGTTATTTGACTTGATTCAGGCCATTTGGCGCTGCGATCTCCTTGGTGTTTAGAGGTGTGGAGCGGAATGACATTGCTTGAAGTGGCGGCAAATCGTACAAAGTAGCAAGTGACCATATTTTGCATGAACATTGGTTTGTGGGCATGGTATGGCTCATGGTCTGGGGCTGGGTGAAGGGGCCTGGGGTAGGGGAACAGTTTAGGGTTTGGGGTCTTTGGGGGACGCAGGTCTCGTGATAGGCGTAGCAATTATTCGAAGTTGCGCCCTGGCATGCACACTCTTTACACGACATGCCCTAGAAGTCCTTTCCCGTGCCCATCATTTTCATCCACTCTCAAGCCAACTACACACATGGCGAGAGAGGAAAGGTGGGGAACAATTGAGCACCTTTCCCGTTTCTCGCACGTTTCCATCGCTTGAAGCTGGAGTAAGAGTTTCTCGCATGGCTTGAAGGAGTGAGAAGGATGTAGCAGGTCGGTTTCGACGTGAGCCACAATCAAAACCCGGGTAGATGAAGGTTAGTAAGGGCCAATCCCAGCCATAAATAGCTGCGGATATCCGCCTTCTGAATTCTTCAGATTTGTCCTGGGTTCACCATTTTAGTTCCAGGTTTTGATTGTGGCTCACGTCGAAACCGCCCTGCTACATCCTTCTCACTCCTTCAAGCCAGCGAGAAACTCTTACTCCAGCTTCAAGCGCTGGAAACGTGCGAGAAACGGGAAAGGCGTTCAATTGTTCCCCACCTTTCCTCTCTCGCCATGTTGTAGTTGGGCTTGAGTGGATTAAAACAAATGATGGGCGCCGAAAAGGTGTTCATCAATTCTTCCCCATGATCGGTGTGTCGGCCGCGAGGCCGCCGCGCCTGGGCGCCTGGAGGCGGCGCTGGGCCGCTTGGAGCAGGTGGCCGAGGAGTTCCGCGCCCGGAAGCCCGCGAGAGAGATTGCCCCGAGAGCAAGGGGGTGGAGGGTTCTCATGGTTTTTTTGGCCGTTTTTTATCTTCCTTTTTTTTTCTTTCTCTTTTTTCCCGTTTTGTTCTTCTTTTTTGTTCTTCTTTTTTCTCTCTTAAACAAAGGTTTCTAACAAACATAAATAAACAGATCAAAATGAAGGTTTCTTTTTTTAACCCCCTGCTCGTCTTGGTTTCTGTGGGTTTTGAAGAGAAGCCGGAGGGGAAATCTGGAGTTTTTTTTTGGGGGGTGCCCCTCCTTGTTTTTTTTTTTGGTGCGTGTGTGTGGTTTTGAAGGGAAGACCGAAGGTCCAAAGGTGGAAACTGCCAATTTTCGGGGGGGACTTTGTGAGGTTTCACGGAGAAAATATCTGAGTGGAACCCCGGGGTGGGCGCAGCGTCTCGTTTTCCCAAACCAAGAGGGTGATGGGTAACTTGTGAGAGTTCGCCCAGACCCTATTTTTTTTGGTTGAAGCTTCTTCTTTTTTTTGGGGGGGCACGTGCCCAAACGCTGGTATTTGCGGTACTTTGTGCACCCTTATTCAAAGGGTTCCTCCTTTTGGATCAGGAGCTCCAGGGGCAAAAGCGTGCAATGCCTAATGCATCAGGTGGAAGGGTGGGGTGACCGGGGTAGGTTGAAACTTGTTCAGAGCCTCTTGCTCCATTCTCATTCTCTGGACTCTGAACCAGAGCTATAGCAAGGGGAGAGCCATTGCAGCCAAATAGTGGCCCCTTGCCAGACAGATCGTCAGTGGCTTTTGGCAGAAGCCGGGAAGCAGACCGACGGTTGGTTGGAAAGTTGGGGTTAGAACAAACCAACAGGAAGCTCTTCAAATGGCCGTGTCGGAACCCCATTTGGTTTCAATGGGGGAAGCTCAGGGAAACCCATCATTCTGGGGCTTCGCAAATAGTTTGGGTGAAGTTGGCTCAACCTTGGAGTCACACCCCCGAAGGTTTGCAGAGAGAGCTTGGGAATGGCATGGAACTGAGGCGACTCATTTGGAGTCCTCGTGTGGCGCTCGGGCTTCGTCAGTTTTCATCGGCAAGCCAGCTACCAGTCGAATGGACAGGTCCCTTGAGTCATGAGACGCTTCAGTTGCAAGTCGATGAATTTGTTCCTCCTTTGCTTTCATGAGACGCTTTGTATATGTTTTGGTCAGCTGATGGTACCTTGGCAATGAAGCTTAGTAAACTTTGGCCGCCTCGCTTGCCAAGATGCACTCACCCTTCTTCACAGGGGTGACATGGGTGGTTTTCCCGTGTAAGCTTTTTGGCTAGACCATTCTAGAAAAGAACGTCTGCTGTCCTTCTTTGGCAACCCCACTGTGCGCCCTGGATGACGGACTGATGAGCCAAACGGCATGGGGGCGATGCAAATGTCCGGTGCAAATTTCCGGTGCAAATGTCTGGGCCGTGCCAACTGGCCATTTGTCCGCGACGTAGAAGACCTTCTCCCAAAATGTTGCAGGCTTCTCTTTGGACTTGTTTTACGCTGTGATAATTGTTTTCGACTTGGGAGGTCGGAAAAAAAAGGGGTCTGAACAATCATGGGCTTTCATGCCACTCTTACTTCTTTTGCAGGGTTTGTACCACTCCGGACTTGGGACAACCTCTATGTGTCGGAAAAAGGGGGTCTGAAAACAAAGGGTTTTCACGCCTTGCCACAAGACTTTGGAACTCGCCGGTTTGTTTTTTGGTTCTCAAGGCCTTTGGTCCTTCCGTCCTTCTGGGCGGGTTTCCAACAAATTGTCCACGGTCCTCAGAATGGAATGGCTGGGTATGCTGGGTGCACGTGCCAAGTTGCTTGGACTTGGCGCCGTGCTCGTTTTTTTTTTTTTTTTTGCGGCTCGGGACCCTTGTTGAGATTGGTTTGAAGGGACACCGACAGGAAAGCTGCATTTTGACACAAACTGTCACGTATTTTGTGTGCTGGTCATTGACACATACGCCTTTGGACGGTTCCTCTTGTAACCAGGCCATGATGGTCCTTCCGGAGCCCAATGGCTGGTGGACTCGAATTCTGTCCACCAATTGTGTTTCTTTTTGATACTTCAGTGGGTCACGCTTGACCTGGAGTAAGCCCGACCTCTATTGAAGGCGCCTTTTTCTTCTTTTGGCTCCAGCAGTGATTTGAATTCGGGGACATGTCGGGATCGAACTGTTCGGGGCCCACATGAACCTAGAGCCCACGATGCCCCAGCGGAGTCTCGTTTGGGGGAATTGGCAAGTCACGTTTTGGGCTCCCTTCCATGGTGGGTGTGCCTTTTTATGAAGAATGGCAAGGCTTTCCCGTTTTTCTGTTTTTTTTGAAACCGCAAAAGCAAAGGTACCGAGCCTCAACAAAAAGGCAGACCTGTGTTTTCCCGTGTTACTTGAGGGGAAAAGCGCTAAACCTTTTTGGTCATTTTGGCAGAAAAGTCGATGGCCCTGGTTTGCCTGGTGGTTTAATCATCTACCAGGGAAACCCATCTATTTGCCCTAGGACACCTATGCCCCGAAAGCTCTGGTGTTGATCTGAGGGCCGAGGACCTGCAAGTGGACATTGCCGTGTTGCTGGAGAGCCTCGTCATGGGCGCCCACCAGGATCGATCAGATTCGGATGGATGTTGGAGTTGAAAAGGGGCTGGTTGATGGCGTTGGTTTTGGCCTATAGACGTTCAAACCTTGACACTCTGACTAGAATTCTGGGACACGCGACGCATGGCGGATCTTTGAGGCCTTATCCACTCGGCAGGGGCCAGTCCGTGCTTGCCCCGTTGGTTTATGTCGAGCCACGCAGCTGGAAGTTGATCCTACTGTGGATGTTCACGTTGGATTTCGCCTGCTTCCCTCGCAAAGGCTGGTTTGGATTGTTGGTTTGGTGGTGAAACCGATGGGTTTCTTATGTCGGTGGTGTCGAAATGCAGGTATTTCGCAGCCATCCAAGACTTCTTTGGGCTCCCGTTGGAAACCGCACGAAACGGGGAACCCTTAAGAACCATTTCCATCGGCCATTGCCTGTAGCGTAATTTCATGGGTCCATCTCCACCCGCGCCTTTGTCCACCAAGCGGCTGACCAAACGGTTGGCCTCGCATGTTGGCCATGTGTAAAGCGGCCAGGCCCTCGGGGAGTACAAGAAGATGCACTGCAGGGTGGAGTTGGTGGCCAAAGAGTGCCCAAGTCTCTCCCCCCCCATTCCTGGTCAGAGCGAAAGAGGCGACTTATGCAGCGTTGGAAGCTGGTTTTCTGGGTTTGCAACAGGTGCCGGCGTGTGTGATTCAGGCCGGACGGCATACCAAGTGAGATGCGCAAGCAGTTTAGTTTTTTTGTTTTGTTTTTTTGTTGGGGGGGGGGGCGGCTGCAATAACAACAACAGCCATGCGTTGTGGTTTCCTCAGCAAAGCCTTTACGGTTCATTCCCCACCTGGTAAATTGCCGGGTCTCGCGTGCTCGTTTCGGAAAGCGATCACGGTGCTCCGAGAGCTTTGCTTGGCTGGGAGCTGTGGGACGCCCGGTTTCGATTGAAATGTTTGGATGGAAGGAGGGAGGGAGGGAGGAAGGGATGGGGAAGGGAAGGGAAGGGAAGGGAAGGGAAGGGAAGGGAAGGGAAGGGAGGCTGGTAGTTCAAGATCTTACCACACTCCCGCATAGTTTTTGATTGCTGTGTCGGCCCGCAGTAAGATATCTGCGAGGGTGCAACAAGCTGATCACGCTCACGGGAAAAGCACGCGCGACAATTTCGCGTGAATCTCAAAATGTCTTGTGGCTTTCTGCCGCGGCCGATCCCCCCCCTTGAGAGACGCCCACAACCAAAGCAGCAACTCTGCAGACGAAGTGCGCAGGGGGCGATGTGCTTGCCCTCTTGTGCTCAAGGAACATCCAGCCCAACAATCGGCAACATATCAATTTGGAAGTCTCCCTGAAAAGGTCTGAATTTTGAGAATCTAATCAAGTTAAAGTTTGAATAGCCTTTTGATCTGCTGAGATGTCTTCGTAGCTTGGACGGCTAATCATGGGAAGTTTCCAGCGTGGCTCAGGTACGAGCCCCTGAGCCACATGGAAATCTCCAGGCTGGGGTGGGGGGTGGGGGGGGGGGCGTGGAGGTTCTGTGGGTGGTTTTATTACCCACTCCCTCCATGGGGCCTTTGAAGGGCCTTTCCCCGCTTTCCACCTGTGAGGCCTGCCTTCTTGCCGCTGGCCGAAGAGCAGGCGCGGAGAGTTCGATCTGCCTTCAGATCGCTTGGGCTCCACTGGCTTCAGCTGGTGACTTTGGAGCCTCCGGCTCAGGCTCAGTCCGACGTTGTCCTCTCCCCTCTTCTCCTTCTTGCTCTCTCTCTTGTCTCCTCCCCCGTGTGTTCTGTCGTCCTCTCTCCCTGCCGCTCCCCATCCTCCCCATCCCCCCAAGCCTCTCTCCCCTCAATCTCTCTCTCTCTCTCTCTCTCTCTCTCTCTCTCGCTCTCTCTCTCTCTCTCTCTCTCTCTCTCTCTCTCTCTCTCTCTGTTTCTCTGTCTCCTGTCTCCTTCCCGTCCACGCCCCTCGACAGAAAAAAAAAGGGTACCCTTATTCTAACCTTTCTACTAGACTTTCTCGCACTCTCTCTCTCTCTCTCTGTCCTCTCTCTCTCTCTCTCTGTCTTTCTGTGTCTCTCTCTCTGTCTCTCTCTCTCTCTCTCTCTCTCTCTCCCTCTCCCTCGCTCTCTCTCTCTCTCTCTCTCTCTCCCTGTCTTTTTTTTTTTCTCTTCTTCTTCTGACTCTGGCCCTGTCTTTGTCTCTCTCTCTCTCTTTCTCTCTTTCTCTCTTTCTCTCTTTCTCTCTTTCTCTTTCTGCTCTCTCTCTCTCTCTGCATTGCAGCGTCAACGTCCCCCCTGAGATGCCTCGATGTCCGGGCTCTGCCCCTTCATGACCCTGAACTGTCTGCTTACTACTGGCTTTCCCCTTGATTTACCCTTCATGTCCTTTTCACGTTTCCCATGATGTCCTGGTCATGGCCCTTCCATTCCTTTCACCGGTATGTCCGCTTCATTTTCCATGTCTGTCCCGTTCTTTCGTTGCGAGTCATTTCCTTACATCTCCCGTCGTGCCGATTGGTTTCCTTGTCCTTTGTTTCCGTTTCTGTCCCTTTCATGTCCCAGTTCCCCTTTGTTTCCCTTTCACTTCCCCTTGCTTTCCTGTCATGTCGACTTCCTATTTCCTCCCCTCATTTCCTTGCACTTCCTTGCGCTTCCCCTTTGCTCCCCAGTATTTCCCGCAACAAAACACGGTTGTTCCAGCGTTTTCGCAAAAAGGAAGTCAAACAACGCAGAGTTTTCCGCAAAAGGAGGCAGGAAACCCAAACCAGCAAAGAGCTGGCAGGGAGATTCGGGCCTGGGACCCCTTTTTTGCGACACCGGCTCCCCGAAGATTACGTTTAGTGGAGCGTCATCAAATAACTTTTTGGGGGGGGCCTCTATCCTCCCTTAGGTATCCGACACGCCTCCGCAAGGTCGACGGATTTTGCATTGGACACCTAGGGAAAGGAGCGAGGCCGGCGGCCAAGAGATCCCTTCAAACGCCGCGCGCGGCATGCAAGGTGGTGGCGCTGCCTGAGCAGGCGCGAGAAATCGCGATCGATCGCGCGCGTGTGCGGAGTTCTGCAGGCACCTGCCCCAACAGTGGGCAGTGGTTTTGGGGGGGGCAGGAGCCAGCAACTTGGCATTCTCTGTAGGCACAAAACCAGGAGCTTCTGACAGCGGGGCGCTTTAGAAGGAGCCCATAGGGGCCCGAACAATTCGGGACAAGTGTTCGGCGCCTGCCTCGCAGGCCGTCCACTGGGCCATGGATTTCTCTCAGCTTGTTGGGGCCTTATGTGGAGAGAGATCTGGCCAGGCGTTGGTTTCTGCATGCGCAAAAGGCGGAGAGGATGTTGCCACGCTGCTTCCCTTCAAAGCAGGTCATTTTTTGGCCGGACCAGGGTTTCCTTTCGCAGCCTGACCTTTGCCAGCGAAGAGAGTACTCTACCGAAAAGTGACATATATGTGTCAAACAATGGCGACCGCCAAAAGGATGAGCTTTCCTTTTGTCGCACCTTTTCCACCTCAGGCACCGAGCAAAGAACAAACTAGAGGACGACTGGCCCGAAAGCATTTTTCCCCAAGCGCTTCCCATCATGTGCTTTTGGCCCTATGTAACTTGGCTTTTAGTAACTTGGCTCTATGTAACTTGGCTCTATGTAACTTGGCTCTATGTCACTTGGCTCTATGTCACTTGGCTCTATGGTAACTTGGCTCTATGTAACTTGGCTCTATGGTAAATTGGCTCTATGGTAACTCGGCTCTATGTCACTTGGCTCTATGTAACTTGGCCCTGTGCAAGTTGGCTCTGTGCAGCTTGGCTCTGTGCAACTTGCCCTGTGCAAGTGACTCTGCGCAAGTTGCTCTGCGCAAGTGCTGCGGGGGTGTGCTCCGCGTACTACGTTTGTACTTAAAAGTTGCGATTGTCCAGCCGGAGCCGCGGGAATGTGCTCCGCGTACTACGTCTGTACTTAAAAATTGCGATTTTCCAACCAGAGCTGCAGGAGCACGCTCCGCGTACTACGTTTGTACTCAAAAGCTGCGATTTTCAAGCCGGAGCTGCGGGGGTGTGCTCCGCGTACTACGTTTGTACTTAAAAGTTGCGATTTTCCAGCCTGAGCTGCGGGAGCACGCTCCGCACACTACGTCTGTACTTAAAAGTTACGATTTTCCAGCCGGAGCTGCAGGAGCACGCTCCGCGTACTACGTTTGTACTTAACAGCTGCGATTTTCAAGCCGGAGCTGCCGCGGACCAGGGGGGAATCGAACCCGCGACCGCGGGATTGCGAAAGCAGGCGCGCAAACCACGAGACAACTTCCAAAGGCCGTTTCGCGAGCAAGAATATTGCACGGCGCCACAGCGAGAGCGCTTCGACACGCACAATCTCCGCAGAGGGTTCGCCGAGACTAAGACAAATTCGCACGGCGCCACAGCGAGAGCGCTTCGACGCGCACGATCTCCGCAGAGGGTCGCGCGCGGCCGCAGAAATCGTAAAAAGTCCTCAGTTTTTGAACCTCGACCACGCGAATCTCCGCAGAGGTCGCGCGCGCATGCAAAAATCGTAAAAAGTCCTCAGTTTTTGAACCTCGACCACGCGAATCTCCGCAGAGGGTCGCGCGCGCATGCTAAAAATCGTAAAAAGTCCCAGTTTTTGAGCCTCGACCACGCGAATCTCCGCAGAGGGTCGCGCGCGCACCGCAGAAATCGTAAAAAGTCCTCAGTTTTTGAACCTCGACCACGCGAATCTCCGCAGAGGGTCGCGCGCGGCCAGCAGAAATCGTAAAAAGTCCTCAGTTTTTGAACCTCGACCACGAATCTCCGCAGAGGGTCTTGAGACCTCGACCACGCGAATCTCCGCAGAGGGTCGCGCGCATGCTAAAAATCGTAAAAAGTCCTCAGTTTTTGAACTCGACCACGCGAATCTCCGCAGAGGGTCGTCGTAAAAAGTCCTCAGTTTTTGAACCTCGACCACGCGAATCTCCGCAGAGGGTCGCGCGCGCATGCTAAAAATCGTAAAAAGTCCTCAGTTTTTGAACCTCGACCACGCGAATCTCCGCAGAGGGTCGCAATCCCGAGCGACGATCAAACTCCCGCCCCGGCGCCTTAGAAACCTAAACTAACTTCCATAGCTGCTAACGCCGAAGCTCTAAGCTCTACCTAACCTTGGCTCTATGTAACTTGGCTCTATGTAACTTGGCTCTATGTAACTTGGCTCTATGTAACTTGGCTCTTGGCTCTATGTAACTTGGCTCTATGTAACTTGGCTCTATGTAACTTGGCTCTATGTAACTTGGCTCTATGTAACTTGGCTCTATGTAACTTGGCTCTATGTAACTTGGCTCTATGTAACTTGGCTCTATGTAACTTGGCTCTATGTAACTTGGCTCTATGTAACTTGGCTCTATGTAACTTGGCTCTATGTAACTTGGCTCTATGTAACTTGGCTCTATGTAACTTGGCTCTATGTAACTTGGCTCTATGTAACTTGGCTCTATGTAACTTGGCTCTATGTAACTTGGCTCTATGTAACTTGGCTCTATGGCTCTATGTAACTTGGCTCTATGTAACTTGGCTCTATGTAACTTGGCTCTATGTAACTTGGCTCTATGTAACTTGGCTCTATGTAACTTGGCTCTTGGCTCTATGTAACTTGGCTCTATGTAACTTGGCTCTATGTAACTTGGCTCTATGTAACTTGGCTCTATGTAACTTGGCTCTATGTAACTTGGCTCTATGTAACTTGGCTCTATGTAACTTGGCTCTATGTAACTTGGCTCTATGTAACTTGGCTCTATGTAACTTGGCTCTATGTAACTTGGCTCTATGTAACTTGGCTCTATGTAACTTGGCTCTATGTAACTTGGCTCTATGTAACTTGGCTCTATGTAACTTGGCTCTATGTAGCTTGGCTCTATGTAACTTGTCCAAGGGCTCCGCACGGAAGAACCCTTCGCGATGCTTTCGGGAAAGCCCACGAGCCACGAGCCAAAGGTCGAGAACGCCTCGAAGACGCTCAATGGCTTGGTGCGCGAGCTGCACAGAGAGCCCGGCGTGGCTTGCACCTGACATTTCCGGGTCCTGGAAGACCTAGGAATAGAACTGGGCCAAGAAAAGCCCAATCAGTTTTACTTAGTTTCCTCGAATGTCTGGCTGGATTTTGGCCCTCAAAATCGATTCTTGGACCCCGGGCCGGAATCCAAGTTCGGGTGTGCAGGAACCCTGGAGATGAGAAACTACCCAACCCCCACACCTCCAACCACCGATTCGGCTCCAAAGCGCCAGTCATCATTTTTTGGGTGGTTTCCGTTATGATCACCCCACGTAAAGGAGTTGTTTTGGTTCAACCCCCTATGCGGGTTTCCCTTCGGTTTGGACACAAAGGGGTTTTGAGACGTACCGCGATTTCCCCACGAGCCAAGGAGTTAAACCTTTTGGGGGGTCAGTTTGGCCAATGCTCAAACCTCCACCGAGCAAAGCGACCATACTCCACAATGCCACGGAAACACGTTGCGAGCCGCGTGGCAAAAAATGAGGCAAGCTTGGCCTCAACTCGTTCTGCAAAGAAGCAAGGCCAATTTCAATGAGGATGGCAAGCACCGAACTCTGTCCTTTTGTCCTTTTCCTTGCCAATTCTCAGCAGGGAATGAGAAATGGAATGACCCTTTTAAGCGGTCCCCTATGGTTTCCTTTCTTCGGCAATCCCGAAAACCGGTTCATTCCCCAAAACCCGGACTCGGTCATTTCCTAGCCCTATCGTGCCAGCAAGTTTCCTTCCCATGCGGCCCCCATCCAAAGCCCCAAAGCTCATATCCCCCAACAAATCGTTTTTTTTTTACGAGCAGAGTGAGTTCTTTCGACCTTTTTGCGGATTGGACGAATCACCTTTTGTTCCCCCCCCCCCCCGGCATGCCCTCCATCACCCACGCCGGCCATCCATCCATCCACCTCGACTCGAAGTCGGTCGAGTCGCCAGGCCGCAAGGGCCACCTGGGCGACTGCCTCGCCGAGCTGCGGGCGCTGCTGCTGCGCCAGGCCGCCGCCGTGTGACCTGCGCGGCGACGCGACGCGCGGGAGCGGCGCGGGGTTGGGCGAAACGAAGCCGGGCGAGGGGGGCTTGGGCTTTCCCCTTCCATTGGCTGAAAAGGAGTTTAAATATATATATATATATATATTGCAAACCGGGTTGGTTTGAAAGGGAATCGATGTCAGTATCTTTTTGTAAGGTGATAAATTGTGGGCGGTTTAATGGCACCCCAGGAAATTTGATCCAACCTTCTTTTTTTGGAGGGGGAGCCAGGGGGTTGAAAGAACTTTTCGCCCAACCCAAGCACGTTGGATTGGACAGCGCAAGAGAAATCGGCGCTCTGCCAGGAGAGGGGGTGGGGGTGGGTTGTTTTTTTTTTTGGGGGGGGGGATTTGTTGTTTGCAAAATGGTTTGGGTATTCTTTTTTCGTTCAAGGCGACTGTTTTGCGGGGTTTGGTCAAAACTTGGCTGAGCGGATGCTGCGTTTTGTCCTTTTTCTTTTGTGTGATTAGCCATGGTTTATATCATCATCAGGGACGTCGCGTTAGTGACTGACCTGTGGTGTTTTTGGCTCAAGTTTTGGGTTCCGTCGCGCCTCGAATGGGCGTCGCCGAACCCCTGCGTCGACCGACGGCATCTCGGGGGAGAAAGAGACCTCGGGCCGCCGCCAGGTTGGTAGGGACCAGTCGTGCGGCCTGTTGTCGACCAAGGTTGCGGGTTAACCCTTTTCTTGTTTGGTTTGTTTCCTTTTGGTTGTTGTTCTCTGGTGTGTGGGAAACCCTGATCTTTGGGACCGGGGATTGGTTTGCTTTTGGGGAACCTTTCTTTTGTGGCTTGTTTACCCCAACTTACCCATTGCCTGGGCACAGGCTCGTGCCCGAATCACAGGTTATCAGCCGTAGGACTTTCCTACGCGCTTGAGACCATCAACTACAAGCTCTATGTCGACCCCACGATCTCGAAGGAGCGTCGTGGATGAGGAGGCCATCCTAGGTGGCCTCCGCTCAGGTGAGGACCTACCGGACTATGACTACGAGGATTTCGAAGCAGGTTCGACAGGTCAGGACCGCAGGGGTGAAGATCCCGGTAGGGATACACCCAGGGGCCGTGGCAGGTACGCCGACGATGGAGACGATCGTATTTTCCGCCAGGCCACTGATGACGAGCAGACACGAAGGGTTTACTCCGGTAGGAGTGGCTCTGAATCAGGTCACAGGCGTGGACATTTTGACTTCACCAGCATGGCGATGGACATGGCCCGCCCTCATTCGGATGACCCGGAGGCCATGCCGATTCGACCTCCGAGATCTCTTGTTCCAGGTGAGTCGCAGGTCTCGGATGAGTTTGAGAGTAGGCCGCAGGGACCAGGGACTATGGTTCTGGTTCCGGGAGGTATCCCGGGCCGATCCACTGGTTCTCAGAATCCAGGTCAGTTTGATGAGCACGAGGAGCGGAAGTTCTCAGACTTCGGATACGATGATCTGTTGAAATCAACCGCAGGTTGGGGCAGTAGCTCAAAGCAGGGATCTGATGCCGGTAGGCCCAACCCTAATACTGCCAAATCTGAGTCTTATGATGGCGAAGGTTACAATTTTGCGGATGAGGAGGAGAGCCATTCGCGCCGAAGTGCAGGCAACCGTGCGGCTGCAAGGACTAGCCCTGCCGCTGCCAAGTTTGAGGTCGGTGATGATGACGAGTACGCCGCATTTGCGGATCGCCGTGATGAGGAGGAGTACCAATCACGACGAAATGCTAGGATCCGTGATGCTGCGAGGCCCAGGAGCCTCTCTCGTGGAGCCGTCAGGGACCTTCGTGTTGACAGGGACGCCAGAAGCGAGAGAGAGAGAGCCAGGGATAGTCGGGAAGTTCTTCGGGGATTGGAGGCCATTCATAACCGCGAGGGACCGGTAGGTTCCCCGGCGATTGGTGATTCCCCGAATGTTCCCCCCTTTCCCAACATCACATTTGGAGGTCCGTTGAGTCAGAGAGACGTGAACTCGAACCGGGTTACTGGTTCACCGAGGATCACTGAGCGAGCTGCCGATGTTGTTAGGACAGGTGCCAGAGATGGTCGGCTTGCCGATGCACTCGGGATCGAAGATCGTCCGTCGATCGCTAGCCCGTTAGGGCGAGATACCAGTGATCTTGAAACTCTGAGGTCTAGCAACGAGTTCACACCTCAATGGGGTTCGACTGCCAGGGAACGTAGTGTTTCTGCGAAAAGACCGTCACCTCTCGCCGCTGAGACCGATAGGTCAAAGGCGAGGAGGGCTAGCCCCTCACCAATGGATTCAGCTCCGCAGGATGAGGAGATGCCCGATCCCGCTGATGTTCACATTCACTCCACCCCCGAGTCACGTGCATCCAACATTGATCCTCGATCTGGCGATAGCCGGAGAAGGGGATCTACCCCGAGTAGACCATCCAGGATTGATGATTGTCCCGTGGATGACCCCAGAAAACATGCCGGGGCTAGTGGGGCTCCTGAGAGGATCGAGATATCGACTCCTCCCGCCCTCAGATCCCAGTCTTCCGGCGAATCAGGTGACGCTAGGGCGAAGGAGGTGTTCGATTTGTACATCCAAGAGATGCTCGAGAGAGGTGAGGTTTCTGGCTCAGTCGCGAAGGCGTTCCACATCTTTGCTGACCAAATCAGGGTACTGAACGGTCAGGTGAGTTCCATGCGAAGGGAATGGAGCGACGAGAGTCAACGGACGAAGGACAAGGTCGATCGCCTGGCAGCTGAGGTTGCGACTCAATCTGATGCCGGGAGGATGCGAATGATAGTTCAACGGTTCGCAAGGGAAGTTATTCCCGATAGCAAGGCCATTGTGAGGCAAGCCATCGATGAGCAAGCCGAGGTCGTGGAGCAGAGGATTAACCTACTGTCCCACGAGGTCCATGAATCTGTCAGGGACAATGAGGCATCGACTGATCGGCTTCGCCTGATGATTCAGGAGAATAGTGAGGCTGCCCGCAGAAGCCATGCTGCTTCTGAGGACGAGATCCTTAAGGATTTGGACAAGCTTGAGAAACGGATGTTCTCGGTAGAGAAAACCGTTGGGATGCGGACACCGGCAGGTGTATGGAACCCGAATCCTGTCGCGCATCCGTCCGATAGGGCCAGCGGCAGTGTAGTCGATGCAAATTTCAGGGAGTTAAACCTGAAGATCGAGAAAGCTCTCCTTGATCACGAGACGTTTGCCAAGTGGGCCTCTGAATCTATTGAAGGGGTCAAAGAAGAGCACACTCGTCTTGTTAATCGAGTGTCTAGACTGCAGAGTGGAAGGGGTTCTCAGGAGGTCGATAGACCATCAGGGCATGATTCCCCGCAGGACTGGCATGAGGCTGTTGACGAGATCAATCGGAAGATGCAGGATCTGGCTCGAGGAATTCAACGTCAACGTCGGGATCATGACGACATCATTTCTAGGTTTGAAACCGTGAAGTCACATGTTGAACAGTATGAAGCGAGATCGGCAGTTGTGAATCGGGTCGTTGATGGCATCCAAGGACAGATCCGTAATCTTCCTGCCAGCAGTGACCAAGTGCAGCCTGCCGTTAGGCGAGAGCTCGGCACATTCCGGAGTACACTTGAAGGTGTTATGCGGAGAGTCAGCGCTATCGATGGTAACGTGCGTAACCTTAGCGCCGCGAACAACAGAATCATGTCCCAGCTCTTTGAGATGGAGGGTCAATTTGACGAGGCTGCTGGCATTATTCAGGGTGTCCAGCAGATTAATGAAGCTCCTCCACAACCCAGAGAAAGACGGAATGTTGGTTACCATGCATTTGCGGGGCAAGGACATAGGATCAGGTCACCGACGCCTACACCAGGGGAAGGTGACGGCCGGGGTACTGGCCTGCCGGTGAGACCAGGCGGAGGCGTTGTTTTGCCTGATCATGTTTTGCCGAATGTGCCCGATAGGGTCGATCCTTCTCGCGCAGACAGGCATCCCATCTATCCCGTTAGGGAGAGGTCCGACAGCAGGAGCAGGAGGGTTCGGGGGTTGCCTGACAGGTCGCATTCGCCACCGGAGCGTGCAAGGGGTGGTCCCCGCGCGCGCGCAAGGGGGGACGTTTCTATTTCCCCCAATAGGGATGCGGGTAGGAATAGGAGCCCGAGGCCTGCTGCCGTCCCCGATAGGGGATCTGAGGTCCGGAGTCGACAACCGAGGGGGGAGAGGCCGATCCGCGATAGCGGGAGCGTCTCTCCGAGTTTTGATAGGCCAATCCGCGATAGCGGGAACGTCTCTCCGAACCCAGGTCGTCATTCAGGAGGTGGTGGGGGTAATAGGGTTCATGCCGACATCCAGAGTCCTGGTGATGAGTGGAGGACTCCTGGGAGTAGAGCCAGCGCCGACACCCAGAGTCCCGGCGATAGGCGAGGGACCGCTGGAGCTCCGTCGGATCGTGGACAGGCCTCAGCGCCGGCTGCAAGAGGGGCTCCCGGCGGTGATGGCCCAGACGCGCCAAAGATTTGTGCCCTCGATGATCCCAACGACCGTAGGCACCCGAATGCTGAATTCTCGTGTGTGACATGCAGTCGTGAGTTCTGCGGGCTTTGCCGTGGTGACGACGGGGACTGTTGCAATTGTCAGTTCCTGAAAATGAAATGCTGGGCATGCCGCAAGAATGCTCAGGAGGTCTCCATGTATCTCTGTACGGATTGTGGGACTCACGTCTGTGAGAATCACAGTTACTTCGGAAATGACGGCCTTGAGCGATGTGCACGCTGCAATATTCGGCATGAACGCGCTCAAGCTGGACCGCCCCCTCCTCCTCCTCCCGGGGGAGGTGGTGGGCAAGGCGGACCACCTGGTCAAGGTGGGAGCGGAAGTGGTGGGCATGGACATGCCCCAGCTCCACCGCCAGGTCCTGGGCATTATGGTGGAGGCCAAGATCCCGCTGGGCCTTCTGGAGGCCCGAGTGGAGGGGCTCCTACCGGGGGTTACCCTGGTGGAGCGCCTGGGTTCCACGGTAGTGCTGCGGATACTCATGGAATTGGGAACAATCAGTGTGG